TTATGTGCAAACTGCCACATCCAGGGTAGGCACAGTTCGTCTTCCACTTGGCACTGAATTGATTTCCTTGCCCCTCGGGTGGTCGGCGCTGCTGTGGGTGATGTGTCCCAATGACTTATTTGTTTGACATGGACCCAAAGGAATTTATAACTCAGGGCCCCATCCTAAAAGCCTTCATAAATCATTCAGTCTTCCAAACACACCTGCTGGCTTCTCAGGTTGGGTTTCTCCTCTGGGAGTCATCCTTATGAAGGGGGTACCTTTCTCAAAGCCAGTTGGGCCAGCACCTCATACTTTCCATGGCTGGGCTGCTGTCTGTCCAGTTGGCTCAACAAGCAACATCCCCCTGCTGCACCTTTGGATCCAAATCTCAGATCCCAAAGCTACAAATAGCTTGTTTACAGTGTTGAGGCCCAGCCTTAGCTCCAGCTTCCCAGTGAGAATTCTTCAGATGGGCCCAGGGACTTGCATTCTTAATAATCCTTGGAAGCATCAGAATTAGAAAACACTTCCCAAACATTAGTTTAGCTTTAGCACCTTCCAATCCTTTTCTCCTGTTCTGTGCATCAGATGTGCCTTGCCCTGTCTGCATCCTGACATGTGGTAGTACTGTCGTACTGTAGTTAGTGCCTGGCAGAGCTCCGCACAGGGTGCTGCTGGGAGGGATCCTCAGCGCGTGGGTCCACATCCAAGTCAGCTGGGGATTTTCCTCAGATCTTTCCAAAACCATGACTCGCCTGTCTGGATCCCTGCCCTGGAGGAGCAAGGGCCCCTTGGTGTATGCAACCAAGCTCGACATCCAGGGCTGAGTCTCTCTCCTAGAAGCTGCTAGAATGAGCAAGGAGAGAGAGCCGGATGAAGCGAGTGAGGCCTTGATTCCACTGTGGACTTGTCAGTTTCCTGGAGACATGGATAGGATACAGCCTGTGACAGAAGATGATGCCCTGCCAGCCTGCTCTGGAGCCTAGGGTTGCTGCCCAGGGTTGGTGGCAGTCTGGGTATCTGGTATTGCTAATCTTTCTAGTCGGTTGTCACCTGGCCAGGACCCCATGACTCCTCCCAGCCAGACCCTTCTCTGCCAGACTTCTCTGAGTCATCAACTCCCTCCTGTTTCAGGTGGCCTTACTTGAGATGCTTGTGTTGGCTTCTGGGACTTGGATGTGCTGAGTCTGGTGAATCCTCAGCCTATGAGCCTTAGTTTCCCCTCCCCCAGCCCCTCACAGGTCCCTCTCTTACGCCTGCCACTTTATCCCACTCCTGTCCGCTGGTGTCTGCCTCTCTCTTTTGCCCTTCCTGCTGTGATGGATTGAAACCAGCCTTGTGTTCCGGCTTCTTGTGGTCCTGCTAAATAGATTTTAATGTGACTGTGGTAAGAAGAGGGAGCTGGAGAGTATGTGTCCTGGCCATGGGGTGGGGGTGAGGGGATTGAGCACTGCTCACTGAGCTATCAGTGAAGCCCAGCTGGAGCCTGGACAGGCCTGCATGCCCTTGATCTTGCCCTTGTTACAAGGTAGAAGGCCACTGAGTGAAGGTACTGTGGTTGCTCAGAGGGCTGGGGCCCTGTGCCCAATGCTAGGCAGCCAGGAGCAACTAGCCCCCTCCTGGAGGACAGCAAGAAATGTTTGAAATTATTTGTATTTAGCAGCCAGTATTTAATTAAATAATTTACACCCTCTTCGATTTTCTTTGTAAGAAGAGCTGGTGCCGCTGCCTCGGCAGTTGGTGTTTCGGACGTTGCTGAGAACAATAGCCCATGTGAGAGAAGTTACATGGCAGAACAAGTTTAATATTGACATTTTCAAAATCAATGAAGAGTGAGGCCTGGCCAGGAGGGGAAATGAGGGGCCGGGAGGGGCCAAGAGGTCAGGTGCTGAGGGTGAGAATCAGCCAGCATGCTCCTGCCTGCCTTGAGGAATGCTCTTACGAATTCCTGGGCAGATGGTCAGGTGTTCTCCTGGCTATTGGTATAGCTGAGTGAAGACTCTGCAGGGAAGGGCAGGTGGGGCTGTGTAGAGCCTCTATGGTGCCCTGGCCTGAGGGATATGGTAGCATCTGTTCTGTAGCCTGCACGGAGGGCCTGTAACTGCCTAAGCTCAGGGCAGGGAAGGCAACTGACTCTTCCTGCCCACTGGCCCAGGGGACCCACCTTGCAGAAACCATTTCAGAAACATGGCAGCTCTTGGTTTTGGTACTTGTCCCCTCTGGAAGCAGCCAGCGAACAGGGAGGCAGTGCTCAGAGAAACAGGGCCAGAGGAAAGCCTTCTTTTCTATACTTTACTCCTCTGGAGACAAGTACAAGGAAGACAGAGGCAGCGTAGGGACCCACCTCAGTCTCCTTTAGTAGTCTGGTCCCGGGTAGGCTGGTGGCACTCTGAGGCCATAGCCCTGGGAACCCAGGCTGTCAGGCAGAACCACCCTGTGTCACTTAGGGCTGGCTGCTTGTGTAGGTCCTAAAGCATCAGTGGAAACTGGGGACAGATTTACAGCTCTGTGGATCTGGGGGTGGGGGTCGTGTGTGGAAGGTTGGAGTGTATTGTCGTCTGGCCATCATCTCTGAGAACTCTTGAGTGGCATGTGCTGGCCTGTGGCATGTGGGCCCTCATGCACAGGGGCACTGATTGTGGCATTCCTCTTTTGTGGTTATCTGATGACTTGTTTTCAGCCATAAGCTTCTGTATGAGGGTTTGTTTTCAGTGGCTCCTACTTTTGGCCCGAGGGATAATCCTTGGGTATGGCAAGATCATTTGTATTTCTTGAAGTGTTTGTGGCTTTAAATTTAAATGTTTATTTTGGATTATTCTTGCCTTTTGTGTGTTTATTCTCACTCTCTCTTTCTCTCTCTCAGCCCTCCCTCCCTCCTTTTTTCCCTCCCTCCCTCCCCTCTGGATGTAAGTAAGTAATGTAAGAAAAAAAGTTGTGGAATCCAGATTTCCTGGTATTCAAAGTAAATTAGTTCTCACACATATTAAATGGATTCTCTTGCCTATCTCTGCCTCTGTTTCTCCATCTTTCCTGGAGGCACAATCCTACCTGAGTGACAGGCCTTCCAATGCTGCATGTGTGATGTGCCCAGTGACATAGCTGGTAAATGGAGACAGGTTCTGCGTTCTGTCACCGCCTGGTGTTTGGACATGTAAACAGACCCTACTTCCTCATGGTGCTTCTCTGGTTGTGGGCACATCTTGGTGTGTCTGACTGAATATATGGCATGTGTATTTCTCATGTGTCTTGTGTCTGGCTTTGGGTATAACTTGGGGGATCCTGGCTTAGAGCTGGTGCAGCCTTCGAGAGTTATCTTTCCCCCTGCCACCTAGGTTATGGATTGGAGAGTCAGGAGAGGAGGCATGGTGGGAATCAGGGGGGTTGGGGCTGGGAGAGTGGGGGAGGGAGCTGTTGACTCCTTAGGGGGTGAAGTCATTGAACTGTCTGGGCAGGGGCGGGGCAGCCTTTGTTTCTGAGTCAGCCCTCTGGCCTCAAGCCACTCAACACTCACTTTTTCCTTTCAGAGAAAGTGTTACTCTTGGGGGGGGGGGTCCCCAGAGCTGTCTGCAGACAGAAGGACACCCCTAAGATCTCATACTGAAGATGCTTCCACTACTGCTCTGGCCTGGCCCTAGCACCCCACATAACCTCCCTTGCCCTACTCCATAGGGGAAGAACTGCTTGGTATGGGTACAGCTGGAGCCCTGAGGTCCAGCCTTCCCACTTAGGAATCTAAGTGCTGGTTTGTGGGCTGACTGTCCTTCCTTTCCTTAGAGGTCTATGTGTCCTGGATTAAGCCTGCTGGTAAGGGACTAGGGGCCCACGAGGATGGGATGGTACTCTGGGATAAATATGGAGAAACTTCTGGAAATGTGACGGTGGGAGGGAAGAATGGCATTGTCTGAACTGTTGTGGTAAATTCTTTATGTTGAGCTAAAAGTAAACTGTGGAGGACCAGGGCTAGTTTGTTTTAGCCGTAATTTTGACTTCCGTCTCTTTGCCCAGCCCAACATTGAGCCCTGCTCTGGGACTCTCCAGCTCCCCGCTATGAAGGCTCCCCCCACCCCCAGGGCATGACTGGTTCTCTTGCCATCCTCTGGGGCTCATCTTAGCTCCCTTGCTCGAAGCTTATCTTCAGGGGAGGTCTGGCTCTCCATACTTAAACCTTCCATGTGCTCCTGTTTGAGGAAATGCCTCCTCTCCAGGCCCTGCTGCCTCTAGTTCATGGCAGGACTCCTAGGAATGGGAGCAGAGGAAGCTTCCTGAAGTGGGTATCATGGAGGCTGAGTAGGTGAGGGATGTCCCTTCAGTAATCAATGGTTCTCATGGTAACAGAAGTCATGTCTTTCAATAGCTAATGTCTTATGATACCAGTATAGGGCATCAACTCATTTAACTGGAAGGGTCTTGCGTTCGGTGAATAGGTGCTGTCTTGCATGATTCAAGATGATTTCATTACTTTCTCCATTTTATCATTGTGTATGTGTGTGTGTGTAGACATTTGTGCACATGTGCACAGAGAAGCCAGAGGTCTATACTGAGTGTCTTTTTCAATTGTTCACTGGACCGATAGCTTGCCCATTCAATTTGGCTGAACCAGGGATTTATCCATCTGACTCTTTTTTTTTTAATGAGTGATGAGGTTTGAGCCCAGCTCCTCATTCTTGGGCAGTAGATGCATTACCCATTGAGCCATCTCCCTAGCTTCTCACCCTCATATTCAAAAGAAGGATGCTAAGGCCGTTGGAGTAATGTGTGCCTCTCGGGTTTAGAAGCTGGTTGTGTAACCACAGCTGAACACTGGCTTGGTCCAGGCTGCTCAGTCTTAACACTGTACCTTGCTTGAAGCTGAGTGCAAGTGAGGGATCTCTCCAAAAGCTCAAACCAGGGGTGCTGGTGTACTTGCCCTTTGCCATCCTCAGGGTGGTGAGAAGAGGTTTGGGGTTCAGGGTGTGGGATAAGTGCACCTGCCTATTGCTGACTTGTGCTGCCTGCTGTCTCCTTTGCTGTTCTTACAGAAGTGGTAGGTCATACCCAAGGGCCGCTGGATGGGAGCCTGTATGCCAAAGTGAAGAAGAAGGACTCCCTGAATGGAAGCTCAGTGCCTGTCACGACTGCACGGCCTGCCCTGTCAGCCACCCCCAACCATGTGGAGCACACGCTGTCTGTGAGCAGCGACTCCGGCAACTCCACAGCCTCCACGAAGACGGACAAGACTGATGAGCCTGTCTCTGGGGCTACCACTGCCCCCGCTTCCCTGAGTCCCCAGGAGAAGAAAGAGCTGGATCGTTTGCTAAGTGGCTTTGGTGTAGACAGAGAGAAGCAAGGCGCCATGTACCGGGCTCAGCAACTCAGGTCCCACCCAGTTGGGGGTCCAACTGTGTCCTCCCCTGGCCGCCACATCGTCCCAGCCCAGGTTCACGTCAACGGTGGGGCTCTGGCATCTGAGCGGGAGACGGACATTCTGGATGACGAGCTGCCCATCCAAGATGGGCAGAGTGGTGGCAGCATGGGCACACTGTCCTCCCTGGATGGGGTCACCAACACCAGCGAAGGTGGCTACCCAGAGACCCTGTCTCCACTGACCAATGGTCTGGACAAGTCCTATTCCACAGAACGTATGCTCAATGGCGGAAGCTACCCCTATGACTCTGCCAACCTGGTGATGCCGGTCCACAGCAGTCACTCGGCCCCTATTCGGCCCTCCTACTCTGCTCAGGAGGGCTTAGCCGGCTACCATCGTGAGGGACCCCACCCAGCCTGGTCACAGCAAACGACCAGTGCCCGCTGTGGCTATGACCCAACTGGTCTATTCCGATCCCAGTCCTTTCCAGATGTGGAGCCCCAACTGCCCCAAGCTCCAACCCGTGGGGGCAGCAGCCGAGAAGCTGTGCAGAGGGGGTTGAATTCGTGGCAGCAGCAACAGCCTCACCCACCTCCCCGCCAGCAGGAGAGAGGCCCATTGCAGAGCCTTGCCAGCAGCAAGCCTAGCCTCCAGCTATCAGCAGAGGCCCCTGTTCCTGCTCTCCCAGAGTTTCCAAGGGCAGCCTCCCAGCAGGAGATCGAGCAGTCCATTGAAGCCCTCAATATGTTGATGCTGGACTTGGAGCCAGCTTCAGCTGCTGCTCCTCTTCATAAATCCCAGAGTGTGCCTGGGGCCTGGCCAGGGGCTTCCCCACTCTCCTCCCAGCCCCTCCTGGGCTCTTCCCACCAGTCCCACCCACTGACCCAGTCCCGATCTGGTTACATCCCCAGTGGGCATTCCCTCGGCACCCCGGAGCTTGTCTCTTCTGGCAGGTCTTATCCACCTTACGATTATCAGCTGCGTCCTGCTGGATCCAACCAGAGTTTCCATCCAAAGAGCCCAGCCTCTTCCACCTTTCTTCCAAGTCCCCATAGCTCTGCAGGGCCTCAGGAGCCCCCAGCCTCTCTTCCTGGCCTTATCACTCAGCCTCAGATCCCACCAAAGGAAACTACTTCAGACCCCTCCCGAACTCCAGAGGAAGAGCCGCTGAACCTAGAAGGGCTGGTAGCCCACAGGGTAGCAGGTAACAGCTTTGGAGACAATGAGGCATTGGAAACCTCTCCCTATTCCCCATTTCCCTCCCTCCCCCGTTTGGTCTCTGTTGTCTATTGGTAGAGAGGGAGAGGTGGGCACAGCAGAGGTTAGGGACCTTTGAGAGCACTGTTTTAGCCTGAGGAGATCTTGGGAATGTGCACCCAGCCGTCCCTTCCTGTATAGATCATCTATTAGGCACCAAGCCAGACATTGGGATTCAAAGATCAGTTTCTCTCTGTGCCTTCCCTCAGGGAGTTTGCAGTTTGGTCAGGTAATAGGATCATAGATGGTTCTAACAGAGGGCAAATTGTGCAGTGACAGAGTAGAACCAGTACAAATTTACCACCTAGGTCAATCAGAGAAGGCTTTCTGGAGGCAGTGACTTGGGGGATAGATGTTTTAAGTAGAGAGGAGACAGCCACTGCCATAAAATGTTCACTGTCCTTAAAGCTCAGAGCCTAGGGATAGTTATAGAGAAGGATAGAGGGAGGATTTTAGATGTTATTTCCCTCTAAATTCATCCCAGGGGGCCCGTGAAAGTACCCCAAGACAGCGGGGCTCTGTGTGATGTTCGTATGATGGGGACTTTAGGAGTCTTATCCTTGGTGAGGCTAAGGTCTTCCTTGCTCAGCTGTTCTGTTAGTTCTTGCTAAGCCTCACCCTGTATGGGTGAGTCCAGAGAGAGGAGAGAGAGAGAGAGGGGAGAGAGAGAGAGAGAGAAAGAGAGAGAGAGAGAGATCTGCAGAGGAACGTGCTGGATGGAAAGGCCAGGTAAGAACTAGGGTCAGCGGCCATGTTGGGAAGGACAACTATGGGATACCCTAACTTGCAGCCCCAGTTTGTGATGCTTCTGCTTGAAGCCAAAGTGGGTGGGAGAGCCTACAGCCAACAAAATGGCTGCCTTGTGAGGTGAAACCCAGGCAGGGATGGCCCAGGGGCTATGCTCGTGAGGTGAGTCTTGTGCCCAGGCCCTCTGCTGACAGGGTGGGTTATCTTGGGAGAGAAGAGGAAGACAAGCAGCTGGTTCTGCCCTCTGCAACTTTTCCTAAATTTAGGGGCAGCTGAGTCACCATGCCAGCTGCAAGGCAGGAGGAGACGCCCTCCCTGGGAAGGATGGATGTTGGTTTGAAGAATCAGTTCAGCAGCCAGTTGGCTCTTGGGTTGGGCCCAAGGCTGGGGGTGGGCGTGGGGACACCCTACTCCTGAACTTCAGAGTGGAGAACCAACCCCCACCCCTACTTCCTTGGTTCCACTCTCTGGCAAGTTGCAGTGGGCCACAGTGGAAGTATTTATTCCATAAAGAGTGGCTACTGGGGCCTTGCCTCTGTGAAGAACTACTCTTTAAGACTTGTGTGTTTGCTTTACCTGAGCCTCAAGGTCTGGGACCTGTAGCTCTGTGATTCTGGGGCAAAAATATTCAGTGTGTTGGTCCAGATGGGGCACCTGACTTAGGCTGCCCTCTTGCTTACTCTGTCAGCTAGAACTGTGTCCTTCCATCTGTACTTCAGAGAAAAGAGGACCCAGCCAAGTTCCCCAATGTGTCATTCTCCCCCCAGTGCTTATAGATTGGTGACAGGATACTGAAGAACAGTGACACCCCAGTGTAATGTTGAGCAGAGCCAGGGGACTTCTAGACAGATGGGGCAGGATGAATTTTCTTCCCCTTCTGGAACCCTGCCCTCTAGCTTGCTAATGGCCTGGGAAGAAGGCCATCTTGGAGTAGGCCTCCATTCAGGCTCTTTTTCCTTCCAGCTCCTGAAGCTTTCATTGTCCACTTCTGTATTCTGTAGTCATTCAGGTATTGGTTGCCATGAGGTCATGGGGAGGAGGAAGAATACTGTTGGCACCATGTCTCTCTTCCTTTACTTTGTTACCAACCTCCATCAACTACAAGTGACCAAGTCAAAAAATAAGCTGAGCTAGCTGTTTAGAGGAGACAGTTTTATCTGGTCACCAGGCTATAAAATCCCCCTTTTGGTCCATGCCCTGTCAGGAATAAATTTCTTGTGTTGGAAGGGTCTGTTTTCACAGTACCTTGAGCATCCTTTTGATGGCTTTTTATTGCTTATTGTAGGTAAAGGCACAGGAAGAACCAGTGTGTGTAGAGCAGGGTGAATAGATTTCTAGCACTGCCACTCTCTGCTTCTTTGACATTCTGCTGCAAGAAGCTGGAGCACTAAGAATCCATGACTTACCTGGGAAGTTCTGATCTGGAGGAGAGCCTCCCTGAGGCAATAACCTTGACATGGTTTCTGCCGTATTTTACTCCTCTGGTCTTCATTTTCCTCCTTGGCTGGTTTCCATGCCCCAGTACTGTGTCCTGTTTCATTCCATTTGGACCCATCCAACCTTCCTGTCTTGTTTCGATGTGAAGCTCTGAGGGTGTAGTGGCAGTTGCCTTTTAACTAGAAGCCTATAGTGCAAACAAAATAAAGATAGAGGTCTGCTGTCACCACTGTCATCTAACATCGGGTCGGGTATCCCAGTCAGGCAGTAAGATGAGAAAAGGAAACAAGAGTCGGGGTGGGCAGGGGGCAGTGCTGCCCAAGTGAGGTATCTGATGCTACTGATTCCATGATTGGTTGGATCTATATATGATGCTGCTAGAAGTGGAGATCTCAGTGCTCATTGGAAGACAGATGCCTATCTTATCCTTAAGGAGTCAGGTTTAGGAGAGGAGAGAACCAGAATTTTAGGATGATGAAGTTATTTGTAATAAGAGCTATGGAAATAATTCCATGAGGGAGAAAGGGAGAGATCACTGCTGTCTAGAGATGTTGGGAGATGGCAGCAGCTAGTGGAGCGTGGTCTGTAATTCAGCCGTGTGGTGATAGTATAGTTTTGAAAGCGAGTGAGGTCCCTGGGAAGAGCAGATTCACAGTAGGGCATATAAGGCATGTTTGTGAAAGGGCGAGTGGCTACAGAGTAGGAAGGGCAGCTGCCATCCTGTCTCAGGATGGTCTTAAATTTCAGACTGAGATACTTGGATGCGCTGAGCAGTGATGTAAGGAATCACTAGATGGTTTAGTCTGGAGAATGATCCACGGTCAGATATGAATCTGGTAAGGCCTAGCAGGAAGGTAGCAAAGCAGAAGTGACTTGGATCTAGCTGGATATTTATCGGATGGCCCTGGTGATACAGCCCTGGATTAGAGTACTGACTTTAGGCATGGAATGATGCCATGAGTACCACGGGAGCATAACCAATGTGCTTACAAATGGACTAATGGGAGGGGTATATTTGGATGGTCTAAGGTAGTGGTTCTCAACCCCTTCTTGGGGTGTTGAAGGAAACCTTTCACAGGATTGCATATCAGATACCTTGCATCTCAGATCTTTAAACATTACGATTTCTAACAGCAAAATTACAGTTATGAAGTAGCAGCAAAAGTAATTTTATGGTTGGGGTCACCACATCATTAGGAACTGTACTAAAGGGTCACAGCATTAGGAAGGTCTAATGCTGTGGGCTACTGGTCTAAGGCTCTGTGGAGAGAACAGCTCAGCCCCCTGAACACAGGGGGAGGGAGACAAGGCTGATGTGCTAGGTGATGGAGGCTCTCCAGGCAGAGGCATATGGGTTTGAAAAGCTGTAGATTCTAGAATCTTCTCCCAAGGGTGGAGGTTAGGGCTGTTAACTTGGAGGCAGGCATGGACAGAGAGAACTCAGGAAAATGGCCACAAGGGAAACAAAGCGTAGCAGGATCTAAGTATGAGTGCTCAGAGTGGTGACAGGAGCCTGTTGCAGTGTGTCATTCAAAGTCAAGATGGGAAAGGAGCTGAAGGAGGAGAGGGTGAGGGTGAGATCATGGGGTGGGGGTTGGGGAGAGAAACCCATCCGGCTGGCCAGTTAGGTAGACTGGGGATTTTCAAAGGCATATTTTCAGTTGAGTGCTGGTGACAGAAGCCAGACCATGAGTGACTGGGGAGGGAGTGGAAGAGGAGTGAAGACAGCTTGCCAACTAGTCTTTGGAGTGGTTTTTTGATAAAAGGGGACAGAGTGGTTGTTGAGGTGGGGAACAAGGCATAGGAAACTATCTGTAATGGTAAACGTTGTGAGAATGTTTTTAGGTAGAGATGGAGGACAATGGAAGTAGGAGAAGGAAGAGACAGGAGAGAAAGAAAATGAAGGGCAGAAGAGGGGCTTGGGAACCCAGTGAACACTCAGACTCATCTAAGAGTTCAGAAACATCTTAACAAAATCAAGGGGGCTGCGGAAAAATGGAGTGGAAATCTGGCATCAAGCTTTAGGGCTTGAATTGAGAAACAGCTTTGATAGTTCATTCTGCATACAGGGTTGAGATCAAAACCTATTCAGTTCATCATTCAACATCAGCATTGATCTGGGCTGTTTGGTAGTCTAGGAAATCTGGGAAAATGTTGACAACTAATAAAGCCTTTACCCTTATGGCAGAAATGGCCACTGAGCTATTATAACATTTTAGGTGGAAGAACAAATGCCTTGGAGATAAATCAGAGAAGTGCCAGGGGGAGGTGAAAGATAGAGGGGAGCTTAGGATGGTCGGGAAAGACGTCTCTGGGTGGCGAAGCATTATTTGGCCCAGCCTGTGCAGAGCCCCTGCGGCCTGAGTGTGCTTCAAATGGCTGCAGAAGTGACCTGCATGAGCTCTAAGAGGTAATGGGAATGAAGCCAGCTTAAATCTGGTCTGGCAGGTGATCCTAAGAACTCGAGTTTTGGTGTGTGTGTTCTGAGAAGCCTTAGAAAGGATTCAGTCCAAATAGTGACATCACCTGACTTCTTCTAAAAGGATATGTGCAGCCAAGATGGGAGGAGGGAGGCCCTTTCAGAGGTGGCTGCTATTGATCAGAATAGAATCGTGGAGATAGGGAGGAGAGTGGTAGACTGTTGGAGAGGTTCAGCCGGGAAGATTGACAAAATCAACTAGATGTGGAATGTAAGAGGAAAAGGAAAGAACAAAGATAGGTCTTTGTCTGCCTGGAACAACTCAAATAATGGAGGTGTTCCTGGATGACGTGAGAATATGGGAGTAGCTGCATTAGAGGGAGTTCAGTGTGGGCTGCCTGTGAGGTATCTGAAAGGGTCGGATCCTAACAGCCAGCGACTAAGGGAAGAGACTGGGCTAGGAGTAGTCAAGCCTGTGTGGGCCAGATAGAACAGACATGAGATATACCAGCCATTGGCACAGACCTGGAGAGCCAAAGGCAGCTTGATGCAGAAAGACTGCCTACAGCACCCTGTAGGTTTATCCCATGACCTCTGCTAATGGTACCCAATGGTTTGGGGCAGGCGCTAAAAGAATGAAGGGCTCTTCTTGCTCAGGGTGAGGTAAGATTGCTCAGGCTAGTCGGATTGAATGACAGAGGGCTGAGGAATGCCAGGGGTGTGATCTTGGGTCTCAGACTGGTAGGCCATCCTGAGTTCAGAAGGGATGGGTGTCCGTGAGAGAATGGAAGGCTCTTAGATGGCCTGGGCTGGCTGAAGTGCAGGCTAATGGGACTCAAGTCTCTAGGCCTCAGACTGCCTGCCACCTCCTCTCTTTATTGGGGTTGGAAAGGAAAGCCACATGCCCTTCGGAGGAGCAGAGGTCCTGTCCCACCCTGTCTTCTTGTCTCCCTCCCTTCCCATCTCCCTCCAATGTGTGGCCCAATCCTGGAGTCAGAACAATGACTAATCCTGATTTTTTTTCTTTGTTTTTGTTGTTTTGTGTCGTTTTAATGCCTTGTCCCTGTGCATTCCTAATGTATTTCGTGTCCACCTGTCCTCTGTGCCTTTGGTGGGGTGCTCTCTTTGCCTGGTGCCTCCCCTTCCTGCCGGCTCCCCTGGGGTGTGGATGGACAGTATACAATGCCAGACTGCAGGGCCTGAGGCAGAGTGGCAGCTCCCAACCCTTTCCTCTCCACAGGCTCCGATCTGCCTCCCTCTCTGGTGGGTTCCTTTGCTTCTCCTCCTCTGCACCTCTGTACCTTCGCTTTAGCTCCCAGCTTCTCTCTCATTCTCTTTCCCATGAGATTCCTTCCAAACTGTTCTCATCTTCCCTCTCTCCTCCTTTCTTTCCTGCTGCCTTCCCTACCCCTCTCCTATAAGGTAGCTCTGCTTTCCTCCCTTTCTTACTCTTCTTCCTCTCTCTACCTTTGTAGCCTTCTTTTCTGTCCTCCTCTCCCAGGCCCTTCCTTCTGCTTGGCTGGAGGCCTGATGCTTTTAAGCTTGGCTTTACCTGTTGGGCACAGGATCAGAAGTTATTAGGGGAACTTTCAGAGTACCCCATGGAGATGTTGGTCTTTCCAGTGAGGTACCCAGTGAGGGTCCCAGTAGCTTATCCTCAGCCACCCCAGATGGGACGGTTTGGGCTTCAGAGCCAGGACTCAGAAGAAGCCAGGCTATGTTTTCCCTGGGACCACCACATGTAAGACAGGAAGAGGTGTCTCAGTGCCTGCTGCACAGTAGCCCTCTGATGCTAGGCTCCATGGCCTGTGCCCTGCCTGTGCCCATCTGTGCCTTTGGACTAGTGTCTCTACTGTTCAGGGCCCACATTCCCAGTCTGGAAAGCGCTTTCTTGCATATGTTGTAGATGTGCTGGTCCTACATCAAGCTTCCTGTTAGTTTATTCTAGGACAGTGTCTGCTAGTGTCCCTAGCCTCTGGGACATACAGGCTGCGAGGCTCTCATCTTTTTTTCTGCTCATTCCAGCCTGAAGGCCAGTATCAGGGAAGAGACCATGTGTCCAGGTTTCCCCAGTGCCACAGCCTTAAACAGTTCTAGGCAAAGGGGCTGTCCACTCCTGATAGCAGGTTCAGTGTCTATTGTGCCGTGGACTGTTCAGTCCCAGTCTACGGATATCCAGGAGATGGCTCTGGCAGCTTGTCCCCCCTCTCCTTTCTTCTCCCTCTGCCTTTTTCTTGGCCCAGCAGTGGGGAATGTAATGTTAAGCTGGGCACAGGGTCTGTTCAGATTCTGGGGCAGTGGACCTGTCCCAAGGGGAGCTGGCATGGCTTGCCCTGGAGCTGCTAGTGTGATCACGTGTGGCTTTCTAGTACCCTGGCCCAGCAGGTGGCTTCCATCCTGGATCCCCTTACTTCTGGAGCCCTGGGCATGGAGCCGGATACCCAGTCCTACCACCCGGAGCTGAGGAATCCAGTCTTTTGGAAATCGGAAGGCTGGAAAGAAGAGTTGGGTCTGTGGGGGTAGGGGTGACCAGTACGTGGGTCCATGAGAGAGGCCTACGTGGATGACTGTGTGACTCTGGGTGTTTATCCAAGTGACCCTGAAAGACTGGCAGAGCTTTGCCAGAGTGTTGGGGAGTGTGTGCGTGTTTGTACGTATATAGCTCTGCATCCGTCTCTATAGAGAGATATACAAACACATGCATGTTATCAGGTCTAGAACCCGTAGGGCACTTCGGGCAGAGACCTGTTCCCCTAGGCACAGGCGCTGTCCTGGGGGCGGTGAGGGTAGGGGCTGACTATAGGCTGCTCCTAGGTGAATGTGACAGCTATCAGGCCATGAGGACCACCTGTCTAAATAAGGCCATGGGTAAGATCAGATGCCACCCCCAGGTGAAATAGCCCTTAGAGGACAACCCAGGACTGACTGAAAGGCCACCTTCTTACCATTAGACCACTCCACTTTGTACTGCTCAGCAGCCTGGTGGGAAGAACCTTCCAGAGTCCATCATTGGTGCTGCTTTTCCCTACTTAGCTTCCTCTGGTCCTAAGGCCTGCTCTAAAAGTTAGAGAGACCAATCAGATCACTCAGGCCACAGCACTGCAGTGTCCTGAAGCCCTTCCTGTGGGGCTAAGATATACACTCTTTGTCTCTGTCTGTCTCTGTTTCTCTGTTTCTGTGTGCATGTGTGTGTGTGTGTGTGTGTGTGTGTGTGTGCTTCTGTCTGTGTGCATGTAGTAAACAAAGGCTTAGAGAGAAAGAAGAGCTAGGAGACAAAAGAGGTCCTCAGTGAAGGCCTGATAGGGAGCAGGCTCCCTTTTGATGTTCAGTTTGGGGGATGTGTTCTGCCTCTCTGTCTCTGTTTCTCTCTCTCTTTCTCCCTGTCTCTGTCTCTGTCTGTCTCTATCTCTCTGTGGCCCTGGCTGTTAGCTGGTGTCCAGAGTCACCACTTGGCTGGGGAACAATGAGGCTCTCTTCTCTCCCCTCTACTGTGTCAGGCTCCCTCTCATAGAAAAAGACTAAAGAGAGGGACCATAGCTCTCCAGGCACTCTGGGTTAGCTATGGGCTTGCCAAGGGGGACAACAGTGAGACACTGTGTTTCAAGACTTCGAGTGCCCTGATTGGCTGCTGGTGCCATGAACCACTCTCCGGGAATGGTCAGCCCTGTGGGAGTGGAATGTGGGGGTCTTTCCTTTTCTTCAAGGGGGAACTTTGTCCTGCAGTTCCCTCACTCTTTGGAGGTCATTTGGTCCATCCCCCTGCCTCTGGTCAGAGCACGCTCCCATGTGCCATCCTGTCGGTGACAGGGAACGGAGCTGAAATGGTTCAACTACACTTGCTGTCAGGTGCCTGACTAGTAGGGGAGGTCTGTGTCCCTTACTAGAGGTGCACCACACTTGGAGAAAAGCCTCAGTCCTTACTACTGTTGCTTTTTTCGGCCCTGGGCTTGGAGGCAGTGCCAGGAAAGGATGGGTGAGAATGTTCTCTGCCCCTCCTGGAGGGTGACTGTAATGGAAACAGACCTCCTTTTCAAAAGCCAACACAGGACCCACAAAGAAGGAAGTGACTACTCTTGAAAAAGCAGAGAGACTGCCAGAGACTGTGGCGGTAGTGTGAAGGGTGCCCCTGGAACCGAAGGCAGCTCTTACATGCTTCCTTTCACCTTGGCTCTGAACTTAGCTCCATAACCCCTGAGCTGTGTTCTGTGGCTCCTTTGTCACAACATTATTAGAAAAGCAATGGCTGTGTCTGCTTTTCTCTAATGTTTCTGCCAGGACCAAACCCAGAAGGAGGCTTAGGGCTGGTCCACACATCCCAGAGGCCTGAGCTGGGCAGGGCCTGGTTGGAGGAAAGGGAAGCGGGACTGAAGCCAGAGGCTGCTTGAGTTCTGGGAGCATAGAGTTGCTGGCAGAGCTTGGTATGGCTCCGGCTGCCCAGAGCCACCCCCTCTCTTTACACCCTGTGGATGCTCCCAGCAGCCCCTTCTCAGGACTGACACACCCTGTATTTTTCTTTTGTGGAAATCAGGGCACTCTGAAGTTAGGGGCTTGTTTGCTTTGAGCAGAGAAGTTTGGGACCTGACAAGTCCATTTTGTTTTCCATTGTACAGGTAGGCAGAGCTGCCCCTGACTAATGGCACCAATTGGAGACTGGTGTGCCTTCTGCCTTCTCCATCTGACTTCCACCACTAGCCTCTGGTCTTACTGTCCTCTGACAGGCCTTGAGAGCCTCCATCATGGAGCACATGCAAATGCATGTGCTTCACAGTAACTGTGTGTGAGTGAGGCAGTTCTGCCCCAGCACTTGGCTGTTCACGTTGAGCAGGAAGGCTTCCTGGGCAGTGCAGGCCGTGGTAACCATGTGGCTAAGGGTTGGGGGCCACCTGGGCTGTGCAGATTTCACTATAGAGGATAAGAGGGGATTCAGGTTACATAAGGGTGAGTCCCACTGGACTGTCCGCCTGGGTTCCTCAAGGCCAGCATTGCATGTGTGTGTTTATATGTGTGTGTGTGTGCACACATGCATACACTCCCATTTGTGAGCAAGGAGGGGGTCCCAGATGTGTGTTCATGTCCCAACCTCATGTGACCTAAGCCCCTTAGTTAGTCCTGGTGATGGCAGAGAATGAGACTTGAAGATAATCAGGCCTATGATCCCACCCTCAGACTCCCGAGACCTGGGAAGTCAGCATTCTAGGATTCTGGAGTATTCCGCTCATTGCTTTCAGCACAGTGAAATAATGGATTCCATGCCTTGGCCCAGATGTGGGGAGAGAAGACGGGGAGGAGGGTAGGGTGAGGACAACATGGGACAGCCTTTGCAGTGGGCCGAATAGGAAGTGGGGACAGGAAGACAGAGCCTTTTGCTCTTCTTTGCTTGCCCTTGGCCGGGGGTAGGTTTTGGTGGGGGTCTTGGTCTCCACCAAGACCACAGCTACCATGGGTGGATGAGAGGAAGTGAGCTGCTGAGGGGCAGCTATAGGGGAAGTTGGTTAGAGGTTTCAGGGGTGCACTGGGTGAAAGCCAGGCAACCCCTGAGATCAGAGACACCACAGAAGCCAGTTGTGGTTGGAGACTCCAGTGCGTGGCTTGGTCATTTCTTTGTTTTCCACCGGGACCGCCATGTGCAAGATGATGCAATTTAGCTCTTTCCAAAAGCCTTTCCCAAAGGCTCCATGTTGCTTGTTGGTTGATGCAGTTGCCTTGGAGACCCTCCCTTCCCTGCTCTGGAAGTCCTGGCCTTCTGCCTCTGGGGGCTGGAAGGAGCTGACATCTGTTTCTTGTATCAATCCTTTGTGCTCTCAGTCCAAGTCCTATGCAGAGCTGAGACTCCTCTTGAAGGCAGAGGCCAAGCTGAGCTGGTTCCCCGCCCTACCTCCCACCAGAGGAAATTTAGAGTTTAAATTGAGATGGGGACAGGAAGGCATGGTGAGGGACTGAGGGGATGGGGCCCACTCCAGCTCAGACCCCGAGCTGAGGTGCTGCCTTTGTGTGTGGAGGGGTGTTAGGTGGGATTATATCTTTCTTTATTCTGCTCATTGCTTTCTGTACCCTGCCCTTCCTCCCAGGGGTTCAGGCTCGGGAGAGGCAGCCTGCAGAGCCCCCTGCCCCACTCCGGAGGCGGGCAGCCAGTGATGGACAGTATGAGAACCAGTCTCCGGAGGCCACATCCCCGCGTAGTCCTGGGGTCCGCTCCCCGGTCCAGTGTGTCTCCCCTGAGCTGGCTCTTACTATTGCCCTCAATCCTGGAGGGCGGCCCAAAGAGGTGAGTCCTTGAGTTGATGAGTCCTGGGGCCACAGCAGGGAACAGAGTTCATGGTGCATTTCAAGGAGCTTGAGAGTCAACTGCTGTTGCCTCTTCAGTAGATGCAGTGATTTCTCTCTCTCTCTTTCCCCACCCAGAGTCTCCTCTCTTGAATAGCATTTGTACCCCAGCTGCTTGCTTTAACACAAAGATTGAAGTTCTTTTCTTGACCCCAAAGAAAGTTCTTCAGAGAGGTGACAAACATCCTGGAGGTAGCAAACACACTCCCAAGACTTACACTCCAAAGTGGGTCAGGTAGACTGACAGTGGGTCTTGAACTCCCATATGCAGAACTGCCAGGGGCTTCCTTAAAACCTTTCTTTCATTTCCAAATGCCCCTGCAGAGACTCCAGCGTAGCCAGTGTGTCACGGGGCCCCAGGACTATTGCATTTTGAAAGAGCCTGATGGATGTAGGTAGTCCCACCTACAACCTCATGCCCAGGGCATCATTCCAGAGGCAAAGGCCTTTTCTGTGACCCTGTTCTGAAATAGTTCTGCCTGGGCTTTAGTGTGGCCTTGCAAACAGCCACTCCCCTACTCAGCCACCAATAAGGAGTTGTTGGGGCAGCCAGTGGCCAGCATTTGGGCTTACCTGGGCGAGGTGGAGAGTCAAGCTGGAGAGGGAATATGTGGACTGCCCAGCCTGCTTCCCTCGTGCCCAGGATGCCCTGAAGAGGAACCACTCCTCAGGGCTACCTTCTCTTCCCCCTTCTGTTCTCCTGCAGCCCCATTTGCATAGCTACAAGGAGGCCTTTGAGGAGATGGAGGGAACCTCCTCCAGCAGCCCGCCACCCAGTGGGGGTAAGAACACCTGTTAAGCCTATTTCCCTGGCTCCCCTGGACCCCACTCCCACCCCACCCCTTCTCTTCAACATTTCCTTATTAGTTTGTGTGATTGTCTCAGGTGTGGGGTGGGAGGGGAGGGTCCGTGTAGGTGGAAAGGGCAGGCTCTGATTGCTTTTCGCCCCACAGCTCACCCCAATCTCCACACTAGCGCTCTGTGTTCTCTACTGTCTACTCCCAACCTAAGTATGAGACCATCTAGGACTTAGCATCCAGAGGGCTGGACTGCAGGTCCTGGCTCTCGTACTGTGGAGCTTTTTGTGTTAACTGGGTCATTTCCTCCCATGCAACACTAGTAAGAAATCCTCTCCCAACGTGACAGTTGCAGCCTGTCCTCGCTCTTGTTTCTGATGCCCTCCCTAGCTATATCCAGGCATTGTCATTTCAGGCACCCTGTGTCACTTCTACTAAGAAAGGACAGGTGGGTATATATGCCCTCTCACAGCCTCCTTGGCCTCCGGGAAGGGCATTTAGTTTGCACCCCCAGTGTACTCACTGGAGAAGCCAGTCCCAGAAGGACAGAGAGGAGCTGAATGAGCCCCAGGGTGGTCAGTGTTTCTTTCTCTAGGGGAAATGCCTTGAGAGGAATTGGGGGCGGTTGTTGTGCGGGAAGTGTAGAGGGTCATACCAGGTGATAAGGGGCACAAAGGTTCCCATGGGAGGTCTGGATGGCAGAGGATGTGGAGATGAATGAAGGTCAGTGCTTAGGTAGACTGGGCCTAAGGGTCCGAGTGTCTGAGTGCCCGAGTGTCCATTGCTTCCTGAGAGGACAGCCAGCAGGAAGTGTTGATGGAGCTTGGCTCTGCATCCCCTGGGGTAGGCTGCCCTTCACACGGACAGAATGCAGATTGTATGTGTGGGCTACTATCCTAGGCATACAGGAAGCTGAAGCAGGGACTGCAATGGTCTCGGGAGGCACGGCTGCTGAAGCCCAGTGGACACAGCGTGCGCACGCGTGCGCACATACACACACACACACACACACTGTAAAATTCCCTGTGTGTCAGGATGTTAGTGAAATCAATTGTAGAAACTTTACTGAAGCTGAAAAATTGTCACTTCAGTAGGGAAATCAGTATTTCAAAATCAACGTTCTCTTGAGATATTCTATAATAGTGAAAGTACAGCGAGTGAAGTGCTTGCTGTACAGTCACGAAAGCCTGGGTTTGACCCTTAGATTCCCACACGAGAAAAGCCAGGAACACTTGTAATCTGGGATAGCTACAGAGATGAGCAGATCCGCAGGAACTGACTGACGGGCCTCACTGAATCCACAGACCCCCGTCTCGAAAAAAATAAGAGGGAACGTGACCAAGGGAGACACTAGATCTCAGCCTCTGGCCCCCATGTGTGCAGGCCGCCAAGCACACCCACACACATGAATATACCACGCTATGTACACACGGAGAATTTATTTCCAAGGATGCCAGGGACATTAGTGTTAGTGATGTTTGTAAATAGCTCCAATCTAAAATATTGAGTTAGCGATACTGACATTTAAAAAATAATGATTCGTGTATGGTGGCCCACACTCATTGTTTTATCACTCGTGAGGCTGAAGCAGGGGCATTGCAAGTTTGAGACCAAGAACCTGTCCCAAAACAAAACAAAAATACTAAACAGACTCAGATGTCATTTTGTGTTATTTTTGCACACATTTTGAGTGCCTGTGTGTATTTTGTATACCTAGCACAGCTCAGATCAGCTGACCCCAAATGCCTAGAGCAATTGTAGGGACCTAGAGTACCCCGCCCAAGGGCTGGCTTTGTGGCTTCTTGTGACTAGAGGATACCTCTTGCTAGGTTTTCACCTTTTACCTTTACAATCTCCTCCTCTCACTGCAGCACCTGGAGGGCTAGACACCGCCTGCTGGGAATGGAAGCCAAGTCAAAAGCACCGGAATTGGGTTCTGTTGTTTCTCTCCTCTCCGGTGGCCAGTGCTGTGTGCCCTGGGGACAAATATAAGTCCGAACTTTCTTAAATGCCTGGGGCTGGGGAGAGAGATTGGAAGGCGGAGAAATGCAAGGAATGTTTCCCTCAGGAAGGAGAGGGCAGCCACTCCTAGCCTCAGTATAAGGGCCACATTGCTCGGGTCTGGGAAGCTGAAGATAGGGGTGGAGGAGAGAAAACCAAGCCAAGTCTTCTATTTCTGATCCCCCTGTCCCTTTCTCCTCCATCCCCTGCCTGTCAGCTGCACCTGCTGGGCAGCAGATGTTAGCCAAGGATGGGGACTTCTCAGAAGCAGCTCGTTCTTTCACGGTGATGCCATTCAAACTGGCATTTGGGTGACAAACATAAGTGACAGGGAAGTGCTTATGAGGAGAACATGGTGTTAGCTTGTGGGACAAGGAGAGGATGTGGAGAGAGCAAGGAAAGACCTTGCCTGACTCCGCCACGGAAGTCTATGTTGCGAACATTTGTCCATTGGGATGCCCAGGGACAGAGAAAAGATGGAGTATAGAAGCAGGTCTCATTTGTACCTGTAGCATCCCCTGCTTGGGCATGTGCATGCGTGTGCAAGTGTGCTTGAGTGTGTGTGTGTTCACCTGCACACACACAGAGAAGCTGTGCCTGATGCTAACACCTAAGGATGCTACTTTGTTCCTTGGGCATATGAAGGCCACACTCCTATGTAGGGCATGTCCTTGGGGGCTGTGTTTTCTCCTGGCTGTCAAGATCCCTGACACGAGAGCCACAGCCTTATTTCTTTACTTCTCCTCAGAGATGTGCTAGGGTACATGGCAGCTGCCACTGAGATATCTCGTGACTGGCCGTGATACTAGCCCTGTTGCTCTGCTCAGAGTTCTTGGCTGATGGGAAAAAAAGCCGGCAGCCCTTTCTGACCTTGTGTGATACATGACACTTGTAACCCAGATGGGCCACTCGGGAGGAGCCTCATTTCACCCAGGAAGCTGTGCTCTTGACAAAAGAGTGCTGGTTTCTCCTCCCAGAGTTCCAAGCCTCACTTTGACAAGGCCTCTCCTGCAGTTTTGAAGAGACCATGTGGCCTGGGGCTGCTATGTCTCAGGGATGCTGTGGTCCCTGCCTTTGATGCTCAGCCCCACTTTTCTTTTCTTTCTTGTTTTGCTTGTTTGTTTGTTTGTTTGTTTCCCCCCCCTCTGAGACAGAGTTTCTCTGTGTAACAGCCCTGGCTGTACTGGAATTCTCTTTGTAGACCAGGCTGGCCTTGAAGTCACAGAGATCCTCCTGCCTCTGCCTCCCAAGTACTGGGATCAAAGGCATGTACCACCATGCCCAGTTAGCCATACTTTTCAAGATGTGTCCTCCTGAGACTATTTTTACACTATATTTTGCTTGTCTTCTGTTTGTGTGGACGGCTTACAAGGACTCTGTCTTTCTCTGTCTCTGTCTCTCTATGTGTGTGTGTGTGTGTGTGTGTGTGTGTGTGTGTGTGTGTGTGTAGAGGATGCTGGGCAAAGAGAAAGTGGGAAGATAATAGTTTAGAGAAAGACAAAGACACCGGAAGAAGCTGGCTGTGTTTAATAAGTCTTCATGAAGTAAAGGGATTGCAGCTGTAGAGAACCCATAGATGTCTCTCAGTGGTGGGGAAGGTTCAGGATCAGGATCAGGACAGGGTTTCGCTTCTTCTGGACTCTCTCCTTTTCAAGCTGAAATGTGGAATGGCACAGAGGAAGGGAAGGGCAGGGAAGGCTGGTTCTTGGTCATCCAGGCCTCAGGAGGACACACCCTTACCATGCCTTGACCTCGCTTCCTGCGTCTCCCCCTCTTCTTTCCACACAGTGCGCTCTCCTCCTGGTCTGGCCAAGACACCCCTGTCTGCTCTGGGTCTGAAACCCCACAACCCAGCCGACATTCTACTGCACCCCACAGGTGGTGAGTGACCGGAAGGGAGGGAGGGAAATGGCAAGGGAGGTCAGGAAAACCTAGTAACCCGGAGAAGGTGTTCTAAGTAGAGTTACTCAGAGAGCAGAGGTTTATGGGACCTTCCTGGAACTGAGGAGGCTGTGACTCTATCCCACACTGAAGTCACGCCTGGGAGACTGCTCTGCAGGCATTGGGGGTATTCTTCCTGCCAGCCACTGACTATTGGGCCTTAGGGTTTTGAGACCCCTTTTCCAGTTTTGTTAAGAGTTGGTCAGCCCTGCTGGAAGGCCCATGTCCCAGCACTTGTGCGTGTGTGTGCGTACACATAGGTGTGCATAGAAACACGCCTGCTGTTTGGTAACAGCCTCTCACCCCCGCTACAGCCCAGTGGCATCCTCATGACATCAGAGGATAGAGCTTCGGCATTTTTTTCTTGTTTGCTCACAAAGCTTTGCCTGAGAAATGAGTCACTCCCAGCAGCCTTGCTGTCTGCCCTTTCCCCGACTATTTTCCTGTCAGCCCTGGGTCTCCTCTGCCTGTAAAGGTGCTTATACCCCTGAGCAGACTCTGTTTATCCCTATGTTCACATGTCTAATGTCAGCTGCCTTTGACCCTGGTTCTGAGACTAGGAGCTGGGCTCCAGGGACTTCCTAAGCTACCCTCAACCTGTATCCGTAATGGGGTGGATGACTGTGTTGGGAGGGAGAAGATTACTAGACCCATCCCCCTATTTCCTGCCCACCCCCTAGTTTCTTTCTGTGGGGAAGGAGACAGGGTCTTGGAACTTTTAATGGTGGTTTGTAGTCTGCTGAGCTAGGAATCGACTCTAGTTTTAAAGCTGAGCTGGAGCTCTGGAGGTCAACTTTTCCTTTTTTCCTTAGTTGCTAGAAGACTGATCCAGCCAGGTAAGAAGATGGTAGTGTGCATTCATGAACAGTCCAGATGCTGGCTTAGGCACAACCTCCACATGCTCCACATACGAGCATGGGCAGACACAGCAGCCATCACACAGACGAAGGGCCGGAGGCCTTCTCTCACTAGCCAGCATGCTGCTACCTGACACTTGATCCTGGCTGCAGAGTCTGGAAGGGACCTGGCTACTGAGTGGGGTCTTGTACGAACTAGACCTCAGCCTCCAGCCTGCCTTTCTTCAGCAAAGTCTTCCTCTAACAGCAATCCTGATAACTTCTCTCTCTCTTTCTCCTCCTGGCTCTTCCTCTCACCTTTATCATCTGCCCTTCCTTCCTGCCTCTCCTCCTCTTGTCTCTCTTCTCCTCCCTCAGAGGAAGATGAGGGGGAGGAGGTGACTAAGCCTCCAGGAGGTAAGTGCACTTGGCTGTGTGTGGCTTCCGCTCTCTGGGCCTGGGGCTGGCTTTTCACGTGGAGATGGATGAGGCTGGCTTGGGATGGATCTCTTTTCTCACCTGCTTTCAAGTGACTAGGCACATAGCCTTCCTGTCCCCACCCTCTGACAATGAGATGCCACTCTGGGCACTGCCTGAATGCTGCCTGGGACACTTGTTGCCACTGGGCACCAGTTCAGGTACAGCTAGTATTCAGGCGCCAGCATGGTGCCACCTTGTTGACAAAAATACCCCTTGTGCCACTTCCTTTCCCAGGGGTACACATACCACCTGGCTGGTGTGCAAAGTACATAGAGGCCAACTGGGAGGAGCGGAGAGAGCAGGGCTTCTCTTGCTTGGCCACTCAGGCATTTATGCCTGTGTAGGTCCTTCTAGGGGCTGCCCTGTGGTCTGAAGGTGTATAGTGGCTTCCTCTTGCTGGGTGTTGGTGAAACTCACCTGGCAACAGTGCCTTCAACGGAACCAGTGTTGTCTCCCAGTATGAGCTGGCTACTTTATCTCTGTGACAGTGACCTGACAGGGGACCTGACAGACAGTACTTGGAGGAATAGTTTATTTGGGTTCATGGCTGAGGAGAGATTTTCGTCTCCTAAGACAGGAACGGAGAGGTGGAGCAGCTTATTGATGGCAGTGGGAGGGTGTGGTAAAGGCTGTTCACATCATTGAAGACCAGGAAGCAGGGAAAGAGGCAGGAATCTGGGTGAGCTTTTCCTTCAAAGGTTGTCCTCTGATAGCTTACTTCCCCACCTCCTCCTAATGATTTTATAGCCATTAGTGCCATTAGCTGGGGATCGAGTGTTCAAAACATGAGACTGTGAGGGCCTTTCAGGTTCAAACTATAATGGGACAATAGCCCTAGTTTAAAGCTACAGTCATTGACTTGTTTCCTGTCGGCATAGAGGCAGGAAATATATCTTTCTGAAACCTGGGCACCTGTGGTGACTGAAGGCTGGTTAAGGGCTCACTCCCACTAAAATGCCTCAGGACACCCTGCACAATTCTGGGAAGAACTTGCTCCCCCCCCCCCCGAAAATACTTTATTTGTGTTTGTGTGTCTGTGTGTGTGTGTGTGTGTAGGTCAGGGGAATCAATTTTCTTCTACCATGTCTGTGTTGGGGGATCGAACTTAGGAACTCTAGGTTGTCAGGCTTGGTGGCAAGCATCTTTATCCACTGATCCATCTCACTGGCCCCTTGAGAATGACTTTCAAGCAGTTCACAGCTGATCTAGGCGGTGGGGCCAGCCTAGCCCTAGATTTGGAGGAAGCCTGGCATTGTGCCTGAACAAGAAGAGGGGCTATGATCTGGCAGAAGAAGGTTAGCTCAGGAGGGAAGAAGTTCGGTAAAGACTCTTGCTGGTCAAGGAATAAGGGATGCTGGCCTGAGTGGCTCCTGTGTGTCTCTGGGCATGCGTGTCCTTATCTCCACAGGAAACATTAAACAGGTGAGTACCAAGGCCCCCTCCAGCTATGCTGTGTTAGGTGTTTCCACCTTGGGCCTTGGTTCTGAGTGGCTATTTTTATAGGGTAGTGGTTCTCAACCTTCCTAATGTCATGACCCTTCAATACAGTTCCTCGTGTTGTGGTGACCCCAACCATAAAATTATTTTCATTGCTACTTCACATAACTATAAATTTGCGACTGTTATGAATTATAACGAAAATATGTGATATGTAGGATATCTGGTATGTGACCCCTGTGGAAGGGTGGTTTGCCCCCCTTCCCCCACCCACATACAAAGGGGTCATGACCCATCGGTTGAGAACAGCTGCATTATAGGGACTTAGTTTGGTTTTCTTAGGCCCACTTTCCTCTGTACCGTATGCCTTGGTTTCCAACCCAGCCTGGGTATGGCCCTGCTGAGTTTTTGTTGCAGGTTTGGCGGTTGTGGCTTCTCAGAAGCTTTGCTGATTTCTCTATTGTTTTGATTAATTTTAAGTTTTAGATTTATGTGTTTTATGTGTATGAATATTTTGCCAGTGTGTATGCACCTGTGTGCCTGGTGCCTGTGGAGGTCAGAGAAGGGTTTGGATCCCTGGAGTTACATACAGATGGTTACATACATCGTGTGTGGTGGGAATTGAACCCAGGTCCTCTGCAAGAACAACAAGGGCTCTGAACTTCAGGGCCATATGTCCAGCCCCTTTTGCTGGTTTCTAACCAGCTTGTGTAGAAGCTGCAGAGTAAAACAGACCCAGCTGCAGATCTGGGAAGCTGGGGTCAAGGCTACCCTCTGCCAACCACAGACTTTGTGCAGGGGATGTGCTTTCTCCAGACTGCTTCCCACAGCTTCAGTGTCTGACTGCACAGAGAGACCCAGGTCCTGAGTGTGGGTGGCTGACTCAGTATGGGAGCGGGTTGTCAGACTCCAGGGAGAAAGTCACCCGGTAGGCACACAGGCCCTGGCAGTTGTGTGCTGTTTCTGGGTGACTTGAGAAGAGTGAATATTGACAGAGCTGAAGTGAGGCCACCTAAGTGTGCTTTACAAAAGACTCTCAGCTCACGAGGCTTCGAGTCTCCTGCCCTCCATTTGTCTTTGTATCAGAGCAGAGGAATCCTGAAGGGAAGGTTTCTTGAGATCCACCCAGCCACCCCTGTGCTTTCAGGGATTTGGCTCTAAGGTCTGGGTTATGGTGGGGGTGAGGGACCCAGCCAGGATCGAAGCTTGGACCAGACTGTGTTTTTGGGCCTTCTGTTTCCTAGTCAAAGGGCCCGGTATAAGCCCACCCCTGTCCCCAGGCTCAGTGGCTGGCCTTCCAGCTTGGGAGTGGGCGGTGAGGGCAAGGATTAAGCCTGGGGTGCCAGGTCCACATTTCATAACTCAGCCGCCTCCTGGGTCAGCCCAGGCCACATTCTTTATTGACCCTTGGAAGTTGTGCTTGATGTCCCTGCTGATACTTTGATGGGAAATTCAGGGAAAAAAAAAAAAAAAAAAAAGGCTTGTGAGGAAAAATGATCAGTGGCAGAATTCCTCAGCTGGGGAAGGAAGCCTTTGAGGGGTGTTTGCTTTGTACAATCCACCAGGCTAAATAGATTCATGCATTCTTTTCTTCATTGATGCATTGAGTCATTAATGGCCTGCTATTCTCTGTGTCTGTTATGCAGTGGGCAGCGGGCCAGGCTCTGGGGAGATAAGCTGTAGGAAGCATGTATCTTAATCTCATGATCATTCATGAATAAGAATTATGTATGGAACATTTGGAAAGGAGGGAGCACAGCTTTCTGAGACCGTAGGTTAAAGAAGGAACGTGTGGGGCAGGCGTGCGTGTGGGGCGACATTAACCTGGTGAAATTGGAGAGAGAATAGGGAAGAGGAAAATGGCATCCATGGGCTCTGGGCTCAGATGTCAGAGCTTATGTGTGTGTGTGTGTGTGTGTGTGTGTGTGTGTGTGTGTGTGTGTGTACTCATGCTTGCCTGCGTGAGTGTGTTGCGTGTGTGCGTGTGTACTTATGCCAGTGTATCCGTGTATTAAGGCCAGAGAGTAATGCAAGGTGTCCTCCTCCATCGTGTCCTGTTTTTTTGTTCCACTGGTTCCCAAGGACAGGCTTGGTATAAAGGAAGACACTGGACTCTGATACCTTGACATTCTTGGTGGTTTTTGAGGCATCAAAACAGGTGGCCTAGTGCAGAGTTGTCCAGCACCTACCAGGCGGCAGATCCTGTGTTAGGGACTGAGGGTCTAAGGATGAGTGAGGTGGGGAGATCTTACCATGAGACAGAGGTGTTTGGGGACTTGGAGGGGGCCACATGTGGTCCAGTACTAACACTAGCTCTAGATCTGGGGTTCAGGTAGCTTCTTTACTTCCTTCTTCACCACCCACGTCTTTAGTACTATTTGTATGTCTGTATTATGTATTGTGGGTTGGATTGAACCCAGGGCCTAGCACATGCTAGGCAAGTGCTATACCACAGAAGCCTCCTCCCCACCCCCATATGTCTTCATTTTGTCAGGGTGGGCAGTACTGGCTCCTTTCCTTCAGCCCAAGGTGCTTTGCCCGCCCCCGCCCCCCATGAGTGAGGCAATGTATTTGAGAATATGAGTGAAGAGCTTATAGTCCCCGGCTGAGGAGTCAAGTCACTCTTGGGTTTCATTGCTCCCAGCCGCCGCCAGCAACCACTTGGGATGGGTTTGGGCTCCTGGAATGTTCTCCACACAGTACCCTCCCTGGCTCCACTTCTCCGGCCCTCCCCAGCTTGATGGCCTGTGGGTCAGCTGCTCCCTAGGAGACTGGAAGAGTCCTGACCTCCACTCCACCCCGCCCTAGGAAGGGAATGTGCAAGGGTGGAGGGAGGTTGAGGTCAAAGAGCAATGTGGAACCAACCAGAATTACCAAGAACTAAAAGGACGTGTTTCTTTTCACATGCCTTTATCTTAGGCAGGTGAGCGTTTTTTTAGTCCATGTTGACAGAGAAGCGGAGTGGGCTCTCAGCTGGGACTAAGTCACTACCTAGGCCGAGTGGGCATGGCTCTGTTCTGATGGTGGGCTTTCTCTTAGCTTCCTGTTAGCAGAATATGGATTTATTTTTTACCTTTTTTTTTTTTTTTTGTTTTTAGAATATGGATTTTTTTTTTTTTTAAGAGAATTTAGCATAAAGTGTGGTGCTTCCCTAATGTGTTCGTTGAGGTCTTGGCAGAACTCCATGGTTCATTCCGGTAGGGCAGCTGAGGTGACTGAAAAGTCCAGGGAAACAAGTGAGGGTACAAAGCTCTGAGGGCTCCCTAGCAGGGTTGGGAGCTGTCTCTACCTACCCAGAAGGAGCTGGTACAGCTGGGGCTATCTCCTCCCCCCCCCCACTGTCTCCCTCCCTTCTCTGCCAGTAAAGACCCAACCACTCCAGCAAAAGCCCAAAGCCATATGGAGTCATAGGGCAAGAGGCTTGGAGAGAAGTAGGTAAATGTGCCCATTGGGGATGCATATTAGGGGTGGAGTGGGAGAGGGTAGGAAAGTGGGTCGGAGTGCCACCAGTGTGGGTTTCAACCTGATTTTCAGGGTTCATGTATTGGGTCTGACTTCTTAGACAAGGTGACGTCTGGATGGGGCTGGCAGGGAGGGTCATGTGGCTCTGAATTTATGAGACAGACACACACGGAGGCCTCTGGGCCAAGTGACGTGGCTGGTGCTGGGAGCCCTTGTCAGGCAAGTGAAGGCTGTGGGTAGCAGGACTCTCAGTGGGTAGGAGAGGATTGCTGTGTGTCAGTGGGGAAAGAAGTACCACTGTGATGAGCACCTAGAAAGGCCTGGGAAATGTTCAGAGGGAGTGGCAGGGATGGTGAGGGACAGGCCACCACCTTCCCAAGTTTGGATGGTCTTAATGAGCTGTGAGTAACGGCGTAGTAGCAGGAAGGCTGTCTGCCTGGGTACCTATGCCACCTCTGCCCCATACTTGCTGGGTTAAATATGCTCTCCATATTTTAACCCATCACATAACTCTTAGGTGGGTTTTCCACTATGGGTGATCCTGTGGGTCTGGCATTCCTCTGGCTCATGTGTTGGTATTATGAGCCTGTATTTTGAGGTTGGAGACATAGTGCAAGCCACAGCCACTGGCTGGCTTTGTGTCCTGGGCAAATTGCTCCCCTTCTCTGGACTGAGGGGACAGGTTAGATCTGAGTCAGCACTCTGACTGCTGACAAATCCATCTGCTGCCTTTTCTCCTGAAGAAAATTCTGCTGCAAACAGCTCTGCCTGTTTGTTTCGCTGCCGTTTGCAGACACTGTCACGCACGATGGCTGGGTTGAGTGATTGCGACAGGGGCCATCTGACTATCCCACCTAAGCTATTTACAGAGAATCTGATCAGTCCTGTGTCACAGGACCTCATGGCATTTCCACCTCCACAGTGCCTGGGGCCTGAGGAGGCCAGAGTTCAAACCTTCTATGTCAGGTTGGCCTGGGGAGCCTGGGAAGTGAGTGGTGGCCTGAGCCGCTTGAGGGAGGCTCTGCCGGCTTTCTCCACAAGCTGAAGCCCCAGCTCTGTGTGCCCAGGTAACTGCTCCTGCAGCACCGGGGGCTAGGTGTGGATGTTGGGGATCCTTCTACGGAGAGTGGTTTCGATACCACAGGTAACTCCCTCCTCCCCAAGCCAAGTTCTCTGCATCCAGCTGAGGGAACAAGCTACCAATTTGGTTGCCTCAACTTTCCTTCATCCTCTTGTCCCGAGGAACCTGGGAAGCGGCTCTGTTACTCCACTCATGGTAGTCAGGGCCCTCAAAAGCTGCAGGGCCTGTCTGTCCCAGGTCAGCATCATTTACCCAGATGGCTTTGGTGGATTTTATGGTTGTGGCACCTAGGGATTTGTGCTTAGATCTTATCCCTCTGGGGCAACAAAGATGGCCACAAGATTCTAGGTGGTGGCAATGACATCTACCTCCTCCATATAATAGCGTCCCTGAAGGAGCCAAGAACCTTGATCTGGTTAGCATAGGACTATTTTCAGGGCTGGCCTCTGAGGCCATGGGAGCCTGGGTCCAACGTGCCTGGTCATCTTACACTCAGTCTCCTCATCTGTCAAATGGTCTGTCATTAATGTTACTCTGAACACTACTTGGGGGATGCTGTGTATGAAACCCTTCTGTATACAACCTGGGGTGTCGGTTGTACCGTAGAGGGCACAGAATGTCTGGCTTCACCCAGGCATGGGGTTCTCTGCATCAGTCTTCCAAGGAATGCTGAGTGTGTTGTGCAGAAGTGGGTGGGGGTGTCTTGGCAGGAAGGGGCTGGTGAGTGTGCAGCGGCTGGCACTGATATATTGCTTGACGAACAAGCTGAGTGCTTTCCTGAGATATGGACAAAGTCAGGTGATGGCTTTGGGGCTGTTCCAGGAGCCTGGACATCTGGGGACCCTGGTAGGGCTGGGCAGAAATAAGGCTGCAAAGCAGAAGCCAGCCATGGACAGGCATCTAGGTTCTTTGCAGAGGCGGAGCCTAGAGAAGCAGAGGCTTCTGAAAGCCAGCGCTCCTTAAAGCTGGCCTCAGGTTGGGGAGCGTGGGAGAACAGGAGCCTCAGAGCAGCACCCCAGTGGTCCAGTGGAGGCTTCTCATGCTGCCTCTTTCCCGGGCTGGACCCTGAGGGTGCTGTATTCCCTGGCAGGGTGGGTGGATTCCTACCACACCTGTGTTCATCCTCTGTCCCTTTCCTTCTTCCAGAGCCCAGGAGCTATGTGGAGTCTGTGGCGAGGACAGCAGTGGCCGGGCCACGAGCTCAGGAGGTTGAGCCTAAGAGCTTTAGTGCACCAGCTGCCCATGCCTATGGACACGAGACACCCCTGAGGAACGGGACCCCCGGTGGCTCCTTTGTCTCCCCCAGCCCGCTTTCCACAAGCAGTCCCATCCTCAGCGCTGACAGGTAAGCCAGGAATGGGAGCGCAGGGTGGGGATCTGAGCCTGAGGCCTGGGATCTGTGTAGACTGCACACGGGCAAAATCCCATCCAGGCTGTTGTATTCTGAAGGCACTTTCTCAAGCCTAGGGAGAGAGTATTTCTGGGCATCCTGCTTAAGGGAACCGGGGTGACGAGCAAGGCTCCCAGCCTGTGCTCCATTCCACTTGGGTGAAAGGGGCCAGTGAGCAGCCCTTCCTGTTGTTAATCTCTCAGCTGTAGCCTCTAGTGTACAGGAAACTCTACCCAGGCAACTGACTGCTTCCCTCAAAGCTTTGGGCAATCACGGCTTTCCGTTGCAGACCTAAGAATTGAGCTTTGCTGTTCCTACTTCTCAGGAAGGGCAACTGAGGCTCAAAGGGACAATAGCTGAGTAGCAGCAGAAACAGACTTCAACCTACAGGTGTCTATGTTTGGAGGTCATCTCCCTGTCTCTGTCTCTCTGTCTCTCCCTCTTCCCCACTCCCCCCCCCCTTCAGACCTGAGTGATGAATATAGACAGGAGCCACCTGTGCCTACCTCTACACCAGACATAGACTGCTTGAGGCACAAAGCAGAGGCAGGCAGTTACTTCTGGCCAGGGAAGTAGGGAGGATGTTGAAGGATGGTGCTACAGTAGGAACCCAAAAGGATGGCAGGATGTCTTGGGGTGAAGATACAGATCAGAAGGGCAGAGGACTAGGGTGTGTGATGGGCAGCTCAAAGCACACATCCAGGCAGGGCAGGGCATCTTGGTGGACTGACACTCTTGGTATCCATCTGAGTGAGCCAGACATGGATTCCCAGGGCTGGGTAGGATAGGCCAACCTTTCAGAAGAGTTTCTGTTTGGGGTACACTAGGGAGCTGCGAGGATGGGTGGTGAGATGAAGACTCCATGTTATGGATGGAAAAACAACATAGGGAGAGAAGTTGAGATGAGTTTGGGGCAAGGCCTAGGGGCAGAGTGTCAGGCATAGAGAGGACAAAGCTGGCAGAGATAAGCAGGATCTTTCCCCTGGCAGGGGAGACCCTGCCCCCTTTCTCTTCTGGAACCCAGTCCCCTTTGTGCTGGGATCCCCACGGCCTTCAGACTCTCCAGCTTTCTTCCTCCACTAAGGTCACACCCACACTGGCCCGGCCTTGAGCACTACCCATGCTGGCAAGAGATGAGCAGAGATGTTTCTCCTGGACCCTGATTCTTAACCCTCCAGCTAGACACACACTCCTACGCATGTCCTGTCCACCTTATTTCCTCCTCAGCCCTTCCACAAGGTGTTAGGCTGCCTGCTCCAGGGACAGAGCTGTGGCAGGGTCCCAGTTCTCTCCTTTGCCCTGGCGTCTTCCTCATACTGCCTCTGCAACCGGCAGGCTCGCTCCGGGGCTCCAGAAGCCCTTGAACTCCACCACAGCACCCACGGTCTCAGCACCACACTTCACCTTTGTGGTGCAGCGGCTGCACAACATCACAATCTAGCTCATCCCCAGGGTGCTGATCTTGGCCTTCTCCCTGCTGGTGCTGGTCTTATACTACAGCCTCCTGTACCTGGGGCCCTGAACTCTGCAAAGACCTTACTTTCCCTGGGGCTGCAAAGCATCAGCTGCTCACTGCCTCCCTCTGGTGGCTGCTCACCCAGGTCTCTGGGCAGAGCCTTGGGTCTACCAGCCTGTGCTTACTTAACATCAAGGAAACCTCATACTATGCAAAAGCAGCTTGTGTCATTACTGCCGCATTGGGGGTGCTGAAGACAGACTTCCCAATGAGCTGAAATCTCCTAATCTGTGCTACCCCCTCCCCATGTGATTTTGTCTTTACTTTTTGAGTCATCAAGGACCGAAAGCCCTATTTTAGTACTCTGAGAGGATGATAAAACACTCAGAGAAAGTAATTCAAGTGATGCCCTTGTAGGAATAGAGCCAGGTGATTTGAGCATCTCTTTTAAGTTTCTGTGGTACTAAGGGCGTACACCAGGAGAGCTGCCTTCATTTTCCCTGGTGATTGCAGTGTTACAGTAAAGGAAATGTGGGTTTGGGAGTCAGGCAGCTGAGTTGAAACCTGGCCTTTTAAACCTCTGTGGTGCTGAGCTTACTGCTTAAACTCTCTGATCCTCGGTTGCTTTTTCATTATGTAAGGTATAAGAGCCCCGACTTCCTCTACACCGTGAGTGGAGCTCTTATTGCTCTTAGTGGTTGAAGGATGCTGGCCACTCAGCCCAAGTCTACCCTTTATTAAATATCATCCACTGACCTTTCTACCTGCCTTCTCTCTCTAGCACTTCCGTGGGCAGTTTCCCATCAGGAGGAAGCAGTGACCAGGGTCCCCGGACACCCATCCACACCATGCTGGACTCCGGCATCCGCTCCGGCAGCCTGGGGCAGCCAAGTCCTGCAGCACTGAGTTACCGGAGCTCCTCACCTGTCCCGGCTGGTGGCGGCAGCTACAGCAGCCCTGACTACTCCCTTCAGCCGTTCAGTTCTTCTCCAGAAAGCCAAGGCCAGCCACAGTTGAGTGCGGCCGGCGTCCACATGGTGCCTGGGAGCCCTCAGGCACGACACAGAACAGTGGGCACCAACACTCCACCTAGTCCTGGTTTTGGTCGGCGGGCCATCAACCCCACCATGGCTGCCCCTGGTAGTCCCAGTTTGAGCCACCGGCAGGTGATGGGTCCATCTGGCTCTGGTTTCCATGGTAATGTGGTTTCTGGCCACCCAAGCAGTGCAGCGACCACTCCTGGAAGCCCAAGCCTGGGCAGGCACCCTGGGGCCCACCAAGGGAATCTGGCCTCCAGTCTCCATGGCAATGCAGTTCTTAGCCCTGGGAGCCCTAGCTTGGGCCGGCACCTGGGTGGGTCTGGCTCTGTGGTTCCTGGCAGCCCCAGCTTGGACCGGCATGCAGCTTATGGTGGCTACTCTACCCCTGAGGACCGAAGACCAACACTGTCTCGACAAAGCAGTGCCTCCGGCTACCAGGCTCCTTCCACACCCTCATTCCCTGTCTCCCCTGCCTACTACCCTGGCCTGAGCAGCCCCGCCACCTCACCCTCGCCAGACTCAGCCGCCTTCCGGCAAGGGAGCCCAACACCAGCCTTACCGGAGAAGCGGAGAATGTCAATGGGAGACAGGGCGGGCAGCCTCCCCAACTATGCCACCATCAATGGGAAAGTGTCCTCCTCACCTGTTGCCAATGGAATGTCCAGTCCCAGTGGGAGCAGCACCGTCTCCTTCTCCCACACGCTTCCAGACTTTTCCAAGTACTCTATGCCAGGTGTGTCTGTTCTCTTACATTTCTACGTCTGCCCCAGCCATCCCTCGGCAGATGGCAGTGTGTGAGTCACCAACCCATAGGCCTGAGTTCCTTGCCTGTAGCAGGAGTTGTACCTTTAGAACATGGCTAGGATGGGGCTGCTTTGATGGAGGTGCACCAGATGAGGAAGATGGACTAGGAAGCACAGACAGTATGTTATGGCTGTCACTGTCATAGCCCCCTATTGAGCATATGCTATGTGGCAGCCTGAGCCAAGTACTCATTTAATCCTCTAACCCCTATGGGGAGGTGTAGGCAGTGCTAACTCTGCTTTATACAGGAAGAGGCTCACACAGCTGACTTCAGGCCCATAGTACCCCCAGACGAGTACTCTTGGGGCAGGGGAGATGGCTCAGTGGGTAAAACACTTGCTGTACAAACATGAGGACTTGGATTTGGATCCTTAGAACCTTTACTGTGTTCCGTAAAGACGGAACACAGTAGTGTGTGTTTGTAATCCTGTACTCCTGTGTCTGGATGGGTGGTGAAGACAGGAGATTACCCCAAAAGCTTATAGACCAGCTAGCCTAGCATATGCAGCAGTGATCAAGAGACTCTGCTTCAAACAAGGTGTAAGGCAAGAATTGACATCCAAGATTGTCCTCTGACCTCTACAAGCAGGTTGTGGCATAGACACACTCATGCACACGCATGCACACACATACACGCACACACGAACATGATGGGAATGTCTTCAGCATGTATTAATAATTTTGAGGGATACTATGACTTAACAGAACTGTGAGACTGCTGTCCTGGACCTCTGTGACTCTTGTCAGCCCCACACATCAGTTAACCATGGGCCTGATGGGCAGGTAGGACAGAGGAAAGGCTAAGGGTGAGATGTTTTTTCACAGAGCCTAGTTTGGGCAGTCCTGCTTCTGGCAGGATGAGTTCTTCACCCAAGTCTAGTCTTGGTGTCTTTGCTTCCATGGAGACAGCTCATTCTCCAAACATAAAGTTCAAGGCCTCAGGTGATCCGCACCTTCTCAACCAGACTTCGACCCTGTGTGCAGAGGCCCCGGGGCTACTTGTGTCCAAGGCAAGATGCAGAAAATTGTAAACAGCCTGGGCTCTGTGTCCTGTGTCCTTCTCAGGTCCTTCCAGGCTGGGACACTTAGAGTGACCCTGCACTCCCCTGCTTCCTGCCGCCTACTAGGGACATCTGGTTCCCAGCCCCAGTCCTTGAAGGATGCGAAGTTTCTAGTAGTTAGGACACTTCCTGTTTCCCACCATCTTGCCTACTTAAAATAGCCTTTGGAGTCAACACAGGAAAGCACACAGGACTGCGGCTGCCTCTGACAACTCCTTAGATCAACCGTGGCAAAGCTTCAGAGGGCCAGGCGCTTGCAGCAAATGCGTTCTCTAGCTGCCCAGCCTGGGAAAGGAGCTGAATCCCCTTAGGTCCCTGGAGATGCCTATGAGAACCAAGGTCCTTGGTTACAGATGCAGAGTCCTTCTCTCCTAACCTGGTAGCAACCTCAGCACTGGGTCCCCTGCTTCAGTCTCTCACAGCTATCAGGAGGACCGTGAAAGTGGATTTCCCTCCCTTTCCTTTCTCTTCCTGGCCCTTTGGTTTTTTTATGCTTTGTGCCGAATGGTCAAAGAATGTTGGTGGAAAGCAAGATGAAGTTCTAACACCCACCTGCGTGGTTCAGTGGTTGCAATTCACAACAATCTGTTAGGTATTTTATGAAGACCTAAGGTTGAGCTTAGAGCACAAAGACGTGCTAAGGAGCCAGGCACAGTAATGGTTGCCTGTAGTCCTAGAACTGAGAGGAGGAGGCAGGAGCATGAAAAGTTCCAGGGAATGCCATAGTTGGACTCAATCTTGTCCAGACCCCTCTACAATGTAATGTTCCGAGAAAGAGGCTATGGTCTTCAGAGCTGCGTCACACCTGTGTCACACCTGATAGGTGACCACTAGAGTGCTGGCCAGGCCCTCATCTAGAGGTTGGAGGATGGGAATGACTTTTGACCCTACTGGTGTAGGATGCCACTTTGAATTGGGTATCAAGAGGGGATGGGTCGCAGGGGAGAGACATGGGTCTTCTTGTCCCTGCTCATGGGTGTTAGATTGAAGCTGGGAGATGGAGCATAGGGAGAAGGGACTAGAGAGGTGTCAACCTATAGGAGTGAAGTGGGGAAAATGTCCTCAGATCTTCTATGCACAGGGAATGGGGTGGGGAAGTTTTTGTTTGTTTGTTTGTTTTTTTGTTTTGTTTTCTTTTTCTTTTTTTTTTTCACAGAATGGCCAGGTAGCCATGGTGACTGGCAGGAGGCAAGCTTGGGGGGAAGAAGGCTGCTGGGTACTTCCTGCCATATTCTGTGATGTTTGACGATCCAGAAAGCTGTTTTTTTGTTTGTTTGTTTGTTTGTTTGTTTGTTTCTGGGGCTGACACACATTTGTTGGCTTAGAATAATAGAAGTAAATTCTGTCATAGCAAAAGCCAGAGATCAAAATCCAGATGTTGGCAGGGACTCTGACAGGGCACAGTTTAAAACCCTCTCCACACTTTTCCTGATGACAGTGGTCCCGTGTCTCTTGACTTAAGGATGTTTTATTTTCATCTGCTACAGTCCTCATGGATCTGTTGTCTCTTCCCCATTTTGGAAGACAGCAGTCATATTGGACTAGGGCTCACACCAGTCTACTTGCCTTTGTCTTAACTTGAATACATCTTCAAGGACCATCTTTTCAATAAGGGCACATTTGTAGGTTGTGTGTTTTAGGGTGTCAACATCTTTTGGGAAGTGTGCAATTCAACTGTAACACTTTCTCTTCATTTCCTCCTTTAGACAATAGTCCCGAGACACGAGCTAAAGTGAAGTTTGTCCAGGACACTTCCAAGTATTGGTACAAGCCTGAGATCTCCAGAGAGCAGGGTGAGTTGGGGACTGTCTTGTTGGTTTGGTGGTCCATCAGGAGACCTCATGGGCTCCTGTTCTCCATCTCTGCCTTGGGCAAGAACTCATTACTCTTTGCAGTAGGTGGGGGTGCAAGAGGGGAGACTGGGATCAAGGTCAGGCAGGAAAAACCACTTCCTGTGTAAAGGAGGGTATCAGAAGCAGAGCGTTGGAGGAGTTTAGCAAAGCCTTGGTTTTCCCAGGCAAAGTAACAGGCCAGTCAAGGACATATGAAACAATGATATGGAAGAAGGAGATGATGATTATTCAGAAAAAACAAAAAAAAAAAAACAAACAAAAAAAAAAAAACAACTAAGTTTGGAATGTAGGCCAAGCTTAAGGTCTCAGGGAAAGTCTGTGGTTATGGGATGAGGGTCAGCAGGGAGGGCCTCCAGGTCCACTTTTTTTTGTTTGTTTGTTTTTGTTTTTTTTAAATGAAGTTACAGACCAGTCCCAACTGCCATCCATACACTGTCAGCTTCCTGTCATGGGGCTGTGTTGAGTAGTGGCTCTAGATGGCATGGCCTCCAGTGTTCGTTCTCTCTAGACATCTGCAGGAGACATTTGCCTTGCTTGGTACAAGAGGGCCCTCGAGAGTGCTTGCTTACAGCCTGATACCATAGGACATCATCAGAAGAGAGAAGATAGCCCTCAGGCCCCTGGGACTCAAGCTAAGCCAGTGCTAATGGTTTCTTGATGGCTCTTCTCTTCTGTCTCCTCTCTTTTCAGCCATTGCACTCCTGAAGGATCAGGAGCCAGGGGCCTTCATCATTCGTGACAGCCACTCCTTCCGAGGGGCCTATGGGCTGGCCATGAAGGTGTCCTCGCCCCCTCCAACCATCACCCAGCAGGGCAAGAAAGGTAATGTCTTCTCCTTCCAGGCTAAGGCTGGGGCATCTTGCTTTCTTCAGAGTTTTGGGTACTGAACAGGGCTCTAACTCACCCAGCTGCTCCCTGAGAACCTCCATGAGAATGAGTGGTGGTTTTATGACAGCAGACCATTGGGTGTTGCTGTGTGTGTGTGTGTGTGTGTGTGTGTGTGTGTGTGTGTGTTGTTTCCTGAATGGATGGGAAGGGAGTAAATGGCCATAATCATCCCACAGGGCTCTAGTCACCTTGCTTCAGTAGCCCTCTTTCCCATCTCATCCTGCAGAAGTTATGAGATGGTGGCAGGAGGGTGCTACCACAAGGAGTAACCAGTTCTCTTTCTTCTTATTTATTCCAGGAGACATGACCCATGAGCTGGTGAGGCACTTCCTGATAGAGACAGGCCCTAGAGGAGTCAAGCTCAAGGGCTGTCCCAATGAGCCAAACTTCGGTGAGCATCCTGGCTTGTCCTTATGGTCTCTGCCATAGTCCTCAGACCCAAGTTCTTTCTATCTCACTCCTGCCAGTCCTCCTGGGCATGGCATTGGCAGAAAGAAGGAACAGCTGCTGTTTCTATAAAGTTTTATTGAGACCTGGCCACACTTCTTAGTTACATACCGAGTACTGTGGCTCCTCCCAGCTGAGATGGACTGTCAGTACATTAAAATAACAGTACTAAGAACAGCTGCCCTTCTTGGCTACCTATTATGCGAAAGTCACTATCTAGATGTCATGTTACTTTGGTGTCATAGCAGTCCTGCATGGTAGCTGTCACCCTCCCCATTTTGCACATGTGTAAGTGCCACTTGAGTCCCCTAGATAAGCAACAGAGCTGGGATTTGATGTCACAGTTCTCCTACAGTACTGTTCTGATGGGGGTTCTGTGACTAGAAAGGACTCAGGGGACATGGCTGTCAAGGAAAGTAGTTAGGTCCCCTTGTAGTTCCCAGTGTAAAGGGGGCAGGTTTTTATTTATTTTTTGGCTGGGGTGGGCAAGTGTGGGTGGTGATGAAGAAGCTGGGGGCTAAGATGTGGCTCAGGCCCAGGTTTGAGCCTCAGCATGGAACAAAACAAAACAAAACCCAACAACAGCAACAACAAAACATTCAGCAGATCCTGGGATGGAATGAAGTTGGATGGGGTGGGGTTCTTTGGGTTCCCTTTCCGGTCTCTCTTAATCACTCTTCCCGGTTGTCTCTCTCCACAGGCTCCCTGTCTGCCCTGGTCTATCAGCACTCTGTCATCCCACTGGCCCTGCCCTGTAAACTGGTCATTCCAAGCCGAGGTAGGAGATATTCCCTCATGTCGTCTGCCCAGAGTGGAGCCAGGGTGGAGACAATACAGGGAACCCCTCCCCCATCTTCTGTTAAAGTGGGGGCTGCTCATTAAAAAGCTTAACCCTAAGAAACACCCATTAATTGATTCGCCAGATTGTTCTTGAAAATATTCTGGTGGTTTAAAAAAATTCGCACTGAATTCTCAGAACAGGCCTTGTCCCCGGGGAGATCCGAGAAGCAGGGGATAGTCACACAAGGATTATATCCTGGTACATGAGAGAGACTTTTAGTGCCAGTTGACCATTTCTCTTCATCCAGTTTGACACACTGAATTATTAATAACCACTGACCAACATTATTAGCTTGAAGGTTCAAATGCAACTTCAATAACATTAGTAACCACACAGCTTAGACATTAATTCAATTATATTTGTGTGGAATTTACAAAATCGTTTGATATTTAAACCATATAAACCGGCGGCTCTCAGAACACAGTGCCTGGAGCTGCTGCGGCCATCTTGGACACTTGCTAAACTGCAGATTATTTTCAAATTTGTCAGAAACTCAGAGACAGAGCCAGGCTAGGGGCTGCAGACGTCTGGCCTTAGCAACCCAGAAGGCTGAGCTCCGTGGGTCACAGGTTCAGAACCTGCTTTGGCTATAAGTGACTCTAGGTTAGATTGGGCAAAAACGAGATCTCAATACAAAGGAAAGGAGATGTAGCTGTGTGGTAAAGCACTCGCCTATAGGTGTGAGACCCCAGGGTCGGGCTCCAGTGACGAGAAACCAGTACAGTACACCTGTGGACTCGGCCCAGCAATTTGTGTTCTAACACAACTGTACACCAAAGTTTAGAAGCACCGATCATTTTTTTTTCCCTCCTCCTCCTTTCCCCCACTTCTTTCTTTTTAAAAGCTCCCCCCTCACCCCCGTTATTTAGACCAGTCTGTCCGTGACTCACAATTCTCCTGCCTCAGCCCCTAATGTTCTGGGATTGGAGGCACACATCATATTCCAATTTATGGCATCCTTAAAAAAATTTTTTTTCTTGTCAAAGTATAGTTGAAATAAAGCGTGTGTGTTTCATGTGACAGACAGAGTGACGAACTTGAGCTACTCAGTACTTCCAGCACTTGATTTCTAACTCATCTCAAAGTAACAGTTTGTGCTGCGTTGATTTCGGTCACTCACTGTGTGCACAAGGGGCCTGCAGTCCCCCTTGAAGCCTTGTTGTGTCACAGGCTTGAGACTCAGCAACTGTCATCACCATCATCATTTCACAGACACTTAGCAGGTACTGAGGTGGGGAGCTGAGCCCAGCACTGCTTGGCGCTAGGGCCTCCCAGCCCCGTGCTGGTGCCTTAGTATCGTCTTATATACTCGGTGCTGACTGCCAAGACCCACTGTGAAAAGAGTATCTGTTTGGGGAGGCATGTGCAGGGCTTGCCTTAGGCCCAGCCAGACTCGTTTTAATTACTTCAGGGTTTTAATTACTAATTGAATTTTTGTTTCAGACCCCACAGATGAATCAAAAGATAGCTCAGGCCCTGCCAACTCAACCACTGACCTGCTGAAGCAGGGAGCAGGTAAGTGGCACCTGAGATGGGACTGATGCCCAGACCCCTCTTGCCCACCTCCTGCCCTGTCCTCTCCCACTGGTATAAATTGGAATTCTCTGCCAGTTTCCATTTCTCTGTGCTTTGGCTCAGGGCTTGCCTGAAATTTGTCCGCACCTGCCTCAGCACGGTGGATCTGAGGGATTATCCTCACCTACCCTAACCCCCGTGACTCCTTGGCTCCATGTCTTCCAGCTTGCAATGTGCTCTTCATCAACTCTGTGGATATGGAGTCACTCACTGGGCCTCAGGCCATTTCCAAAGCGACATCTGAGACTTTGGCTGCTGACCCCGCACCAGCCGCTACCATTGTTCACTTCAAGGTCTCTGCCCAAGGAATCACACTGACTGACAATCAGAGAAAGTAAGCTTTGTCTGCATACCTCTTCTCCAGCCTCTCTCCCCCTTACCCGCTCACTCGTGCTGTTACCATCCCTGTAGCCATCGACTACCTATGTATCTGTGCATTCATCTTGCGTCCATCCATCCTTCCATCTAGCCTCCACCCACCCACTTGTTCATCCGTCCACCTACCCACATACTCAACCATCCATCCATCTATCCATCCATTCACCCACATTCATCCACCAACCCATTCATCCACCCACCGACCTATCCACCCTCGCATCCATCCATTTATACGTCTTTCCATTCACCAGACCCTTCATATAGCTCTCTCTATCCAAGATCCATCCACTTATTCATCCGTACTTCTAAAGAGTGGCCTTCTTTGAACCTATAGAATACATATTGCTGGAGAAAAGGCCTTGGTTTTAAGAGTAGATGTTTCTACACTGTGCTCTCTCTGTTCCCAGTCCATCCCTTCCTCTTCCAGAGTTCGGCATTTATCATTTCTAAGGGCTAAGTGGCCATGTTCCTTTGGCACATCTGTCTGTTTCTGTGTGGGGCTGGAGCCCTAGTCTGAGGATCTCAGCCCATCTTATTTATAAGGAGAGGCTGTATGAACTCATGCTAGGCACAGTGACCGGAAGATGGCCTGACCTGCGGCTGGTAGCAGGTGTGAAAAGCAGTTACTCCCACACTCACTCTGGCCCTCTGATATCTTTGCCACAGGCTCTTCTTTAGGCGACACTACCCTCTCAACACCGTCACCTTCTGTGACCTGGATCCACAAGAAAGAAAGTAAGTGTCTTATGGGCACCTCTGCTCTGTCCCCTGTAGTTCGTGTGTGCTGTGTGCCTGTGTATCCTTGCCCCAGACACAGCTTTGGTTTGTCCTGGGCAGTGAGAGCAGTTATGTCGGCAGCCACCTTAGTCTCCTCCCCAGACCTGGTGACTCTCCACGGACGTCTTTGCTCACCTCTCCATGCTCTGTTGTGTCTCCCCTCCACGTGGGAGGCAGGCTGCAGCATCCTCCTCACTTGGACCACCCTCAGTGTGACCTTGAGGCTATGCCTCCTGGAGTGGGGGCTTCTCTGCCTCCCCCTGGCAGGGCTCCTAGGAGGGGCACACCGACTCACGGCGGGCTTTTTTTTCCCCCACAGGTGGATGAAGACAGAGGGAGGGGCTCCTGCTAAGTAAGTAGCTTTGCCTGCACCCAGCTGTTGTATTCCTGTGTGGGGAAAGCGGGCACAGGGCTAGGCTCTAGACCAGGAGTCTGATAAAGGCCTACACGCCAAGGTCCCTGAGAGTAGAAGAAAGAGTAGATAGCCTGCATCTTGATGCTAATAAAGACAGGTGTCTGGACGTGGAGTCCTTAGGATTTGTGGAAAGAAAGAATACTTAAAAAAACTGATTTAAGTGACAGGTGCATTTTGGGTAGATAGAAGTGGGTTCAGGGAAAGGGATTGCATGATTTGTAGACTTGTAGGTTCCTGAAGACAGCCTGGGGTCTCTCAGTTGCTGGCAGCTGTTGAATTAAGAGATAGAGGCCAGAGCGCCAGGGGGTGGGCCAAAGTGAGAGCACCTTGCTTGGGAATGGAAAGGACCAGCTAGGAATCTAATCCTTATCAACAAGGGGCTCCAGAGGGGCTGTGTGGGAGGGAGGCTGCCTCAGCCTTCTGTAGCCTTCATAGACTCAAAAGGGACCTCACGTTCCAGTGCCTCCCCACATCACTGAATCTCTTCGTGTTACTGCCAGACCGACAGACAGGCCAGTTTGCCAATGGGTCAGATGGCAGTGTTCAGGCACAACTGGCTGGGTCCCTATCCTGGCATAGACAGGCCTATGTGCTTCTACTCTGGGATCTCAGAGATGCTCCTCACCCTGTCTGGATCACCCCCTACCATGTCAAAGTTACAGTTAGCCCTGGAAAGGAGACTGCCCTGACCATCTCCCGGCCATTATCAAAGGCCTTCAGGTCCTGCAACAGAGTTGTGAGAGTAAAGCTTTTTGAAGTATACGGCGTGTGTGTGTGTGTGTGTGTGTGTGTGTGTGTGTGTGTTTTCTCATGTGCTATGTGGACGTTCATTTGCTGTTTGTCTATGTGCACAGGTGTAAACAGAGTGTGCTTGCCCGTGTATGCGTGCACAGACACACACAGGCAGGCAGAAGCCAGCCTGGCTAATTTTAGCTGTGGGTGCCATGCATGCCCGGCTGAGGGGTTTTCATTGGCATTTCCAGCTGTCCTGATTGCCCCATCTCACTCTAATTAGCAACATGCTGGCTGGGAGGGGCCCTGAGCTCACATTCTGTTCTCTGCTCTCATATTTTTAACTTTGTTTTTGCAGAGAGAGAGAATGCTGGGTGACTCCCATTGGTATTGGAGAGGGCAGGGGCAGGTGTGGAGTTCCTTATCCCTCATGTTTTTCAGGGCTTCCCAGCTTCCAGAGCCAGGAGGGAGGGAGGGGCTGGAAAGGGAGGGAGGGAGAGAGAGAGAGAGAGCTGGGAAGGTGGGAACCTGCTTATCCTTTGTCTTTGTGACCACTTTGGAAGCATGTCCTGTAGGAACCCTTAGGTTGGGGTGGGCCTGAGAAAGAACCCAAGGAAGCACTTGGACTCTCCCTGCCCTCCTGTTCTTCTTGCACCCTCTCTAACCAGTCTTGTCACTCTGGTCCCACCCCTGCTGCCCCCCAGGGGAATGCTACCTGCCAGGAAACAAAGCAAGGGACTGTCCCCAGGACCTGGCTTTAAGAGCCAGCCTCAGTTCTAGATGTTTGGAGAAGTGTGGAGGCTGGAGAAGGCAGGCTGGCCTGGGGCATGCTTTCCTGCCTGGGTCCTTACACGGATCCCCTCCCCCACTCGTAGGCTCTTCGGCTTCGTGGCCCGGAAGCAGGGCAGCACCACAGACAACGCTTGCCACCTCTTCGCAGAGCTTGACCCCAACCAGCCCGCGTCTGCCATCGTCAACTTCGTCTCCAAGGTCATGCTGAGTGCAGGCCAGAAGAGATGAATCTTGGAGGCCTTGGGGGTGGGGCCTGTGGGGGAGGGGATCTGCGAATCCTGACCACCTTGAATTCAGAAAGAGAACTTTGGGTCAACCGTGGAGAAGGAGAGATGAAAGTGCAATGCGGGGAGAGGGAAGTGAATTTCGGAGGGAAGGGGAGGGGAAGGAAGAGGAAGGAAGGACTGAAGTGAGGGTCTCAGAATCCCCTGGCTCCCCTCCCCCCCTCAGAGAGAATTGAGCTCCCCGCAGGGAACACACAGGCCTCTTTGGGGGACCATATTTCACAGAGCAATGAAAAAGCTCGTTCTCTCTAACACTCCTGCTTTGAGAGAAGAAGACTCCCTCTCTGGAGGTCGCTAAACCCAGTGGCTAGGGAATGACATCAGGCGGTGACACTTCTTCACATTTTGCTTGGCCCGAGCCACCCGTGGTCCGCGCTTGCCCTGACTTCCTGTTGCGGGGCGTAAATGTGCCCTTGCGAGCTGACTGATACCTGCCTGTATCCACTCAGATTACAAACAGCTCTGCTTGCCTGTGTCCCTTGTGATACACGTAGACACACTGTTCAAAGAAGGCTAGGGATATGGGGTCCCAAGGTCCCCTTTAGGAGTATAGCATTATGGGTAGCAGAGTTCTCCATCTCCTTCCCTCTCTCTCTCTCCACCTACCCTCCAGTGGCCCTGGGGGCCTCTAGCCTATCCCCTGTAGGGACCCTGGTTCAGAGGAAACGGCCAACCTGAAAGCATTAGCCCTGTTCTGTCTCCTGGAGACTGAAGCTGGGTTGGAGGAAGAGGTGATGCCCACAGTCTTAGGAAAGATACCCGTTAGGAAGGGTGGCATCTGGTTGTGGGGCTCACAGTGAGTTGGGCATGGGTGTTGTGGGGCTCATAGCAACTTGGGCATGCACATTTGACAGTGCCCAGGACTCTGCCTTTACTCCTTTCCTTCCACCCAGTTCCTGAGCCAGGAGTGCCAGCACTAGCCTTGCACTTATTCATCTGCTTGAAGCCCACTGGGGGATGGGGCTTGTGCCTTTCTGACCTATCCTATCCTATATAGTCCTCATGTTGGCTTATCCCAAGAGCCTACTTCCCAAAGTCCTGCCCAGGGCACCTGGCGGACACCTGGAGACCCCTTTTTCCCCCGTCTGTGTTTTGGGGTCCGACTATTGCAGATACCCTTCTGGCTGGGCTGCCCAGGGTGACATCAGAGTGCCTCTGGGGATGCTGCTGGAGAACCACATGGTCCTCCCACAATGCCAAAGGGTTCCCTGTTTTCCCTTTGCCTTGGTTTCCCCAGCAGAACCATGCTGCCTATGGGACAGAGGACAGAAGGTATGAATTTAGGCCAAAGGCCTTATGGTCCATTTGTGGGGTTGGAAAGGCCCCTGCCACCATTTAAGCCCGTGGGGGTCCCCTAGGGGTGGCATTGTACTGATATATAAATATATATAATATATACATGAGACATACTGATAGAATCTGTAAGCTAATAAAAATATAAGAAAAGGTTAAAAAAAGAATAGGTAAATTGACAAGTAATATTTATTGTTTTCCCATATTGCTTTATTGTTTCTGGCCACAAACTGTTCCCCTCTCTTTTTCTTATAAGAAGAGCCTGAACTGCAGAGAATCTTCATATTCCAAACAGCCCAGGGCTGGCCTTGGCCTTGACCCTTGCCCTGCCTTCCCTAGGCTACATCTGGGACTTGGGGGGATGACATGCACCAGCTCTTTAACCCCTTATTTTCTGGCAAACAGTAGTCCAGCTGCCAGCAGTCTGGATGTGTGGACAGCTGATTCCATTGCCACAGGCCGAGCCAGCGTGTGTTTGGGGATGTGGGTGTGTATGGCCATGGTGTGTACATCTCTTGGATTTTTTTTCTCCACCAGGGAGCTTTGACTGTGTGGACATTATATAAGGAGCTAGAAAGAAAATTGTCTGGGTTAGGTGGGGATCATAGGTAGAGGCTCTTGCTGGCCCCCACTTCCCAAAGAATAAATGGGCTTATCGGTTAAGGTCCTTCTAAAGTATCCTTCCCTCTGAGATATTCAAGGCAAATGCCTGGATTACCCATTTCCTCATCACCCAAATGAGTCCTACTTATTCCCAAGATAGGAGGAGACATTTTCCACACCTTTCTTTGTAAATGTCCTCCTCCTGTCCCAAACAGCCTGGGGAGTCCTCTCCTGGCTGCAGCGTTGTTCATGTGAGCTTTGGAGGAGCATCAGAACCTCTGCACCCTGCCCTGGGCCAGGCTCAAGTCTGGGCTCAGCCTTCATGTATGGTTTCACCTCTCCATACTGCCCTCAGGCCCAAGCCATGTGTGAGTCATGTGAAGGACCAAGGTGGGTGCTAACTAGTGGGTAAATCCTTCCCAACGTGCCTCTAGAAAGAGTGGACCCCCGAGTTCGGCTTTTCTGGAAAGTATGGTGGAGAAGGGGGGGCCTCACTCAGTTCTTACGCTGGGGACCACCACACTGTAGTCTGCCCTCTTCCTCATGTGATTCTCACGGGTGGGCCCCTGCACGCTCACACACGCGAGCGCACACACAGAGACCACACACGCACACACCACTCCATATGCAACCTACTCTTGCCAAAGATTTCCTTTAAACGAGAGCACTTTCACCCATTGTTGTTTTGTGAATGATCTGTTTTGCTGTTGTTTGTTGTTGAGTCTGTATGTCAGCAGGGAGCGTGCTGTCCACTCTTAAACGTGAATGCCAGAGGGGCCAGGGGAGCCAAGAGAACATGGCAGCATATGATGCCATTAACAAGATCCCTCAGCCACAGCCCAGCTCCACACCGCTTCTGACAACTCAGAGTATCTCTGAGGTTGGCCTGGGCCTTCACCTTCCCTGATATCTGAGGTGAGACTGCAGAAAGGAACAGTGATTGAGCCAGGATTGAGGCCCAGGGAATTCCCTATGGTTCTTCTGGGATGAGGGGGATAAGACTGAAGAGCTGGGCTAGAATACAACGGACAGGTGTCCCCAGAGGGAAGGATGGAAGAATTAACAACTGGATGCTGGGGCTGTCATGCTACTGTGGAGCCCCAGATCCCTTGTCCGGCCATGTTTTCGGAAAGAATCCACATCTTAGGTTTGGGAAAGGCCATTTGAGTCATTTTACATGACCCCTTCCTGGCAGCTTAGATATAGCTGCAGACAAGATTACTGGGATTCCTGGTGCACCCCAGCTTTGGAGAATCTCTAGGGATACACATTCTGAGGTTCTAGGGAGGACGCTGTGGATGTGTGCCCCTGTAGAAAGGGACTTTCGGGGGAGAGAGAGACCTTGTGGCTAGGCCCGAGTAGAGATCAAACAGGCTCCTTGAGCTGTCTGATGTGTGCAAGAGAAACCTGTGAGTGAACAGCAGCCATCCCGCTCTGGCTTGTCTTCTTTATCCTACTTCCCAGGACTTCTGACCCCTTTTCCCAGCTTCAGATATTGGGGAGACTCACCCAAGGGAAGTAGCCCTCTCCTGCCTCCGTGCCTTGGGTCTCCGAAGAGCTTGGAACCCAAAGCTAGGGCCACCCCTGCACTTAAGCCTTGGCCGAAGATCTCAAGACAGGTGTTTCCATGGTCAGTGGTGACGGGATGTGTGTGTGCGTGTGTGTAAGTATGGGTGCGTGTGTGGTCTGCTCGTCTCTTTCGGGAACTTCGAGGTGGGAGGTGGTAGATGGAGGGATGTCAAGTTCCAGGTGACCCGGTAATGAGAAGAACGAGGAGGTGAGGCCTGACGGGCCACAGATTGGTTGTGTTTTGGTGCTGATGTTGGAGGTGACAGCCACGTGGGATGACGAGGCCCAGCAGGCCCCTTGTGGTCTCCTGTCTCCTCAAATGGCTGGAAAAATTGGAGGTTCTCAGTTGGCTTCCATGCCTGGGATCCTCACAGCGGCAAGGCCACTGACATGCGACACACCCAGCGTGTCCTCTCGTCAGTGTTTACAGCCCAGCCCTCCCTGAGGACCCACATTTGGCTCATGTGCGTGAGCACGTTGGGGTGTGCATGAGGTATCTCTTCACTTTCTTCCCTTCTCTCATTCGACACAAACATAAATTCCTTACACCCTGGTTATCCCAACCTTGCCTCCTGGGCCCTCTGCTGGGAAACTAGTACCCAGAGTTCCTTCCCTGGACCCCAGTCCTCTGCTGTGTATTTATAGATGGAAATATACTTTATATTTTGTATCATTGTGCCTATAGCCTCTGCCACCTTGTATAAACCCTGATGTAATGCTAAGTGTTCTGGATATGAATGTATGTACACGGACGCTGTCCCCCTCTGTACAGCTGCTTGGTCTCCCACGATCCATTGTATGGCTTTATAAATGATAAACTTAAACACAAACCCAGGCTGTGGTCTAGCTGTGTTTGGGCTCTGCTGGGGGTGGGGTGGGGTGTTCACTGGGCAAGAGAGGTCTCTACTGGGCACCAGATATATGAGGGTCTTCATGATGCTTCCTGTAGCCCCAGCAGTCCCCCCCCCCACACCGTCCTTCTGGTCATCATGACTGTTATTCATCTGGACGCCTAGCTGGAAAAGAAGTTTGAAGAATAAAACAAGGACTGATGGACCTGAGTGAGGAAAAAGACAAGTAGTAGCTTCATAGCGTTGTGAAATGCTTTTGCTCTCACAGTCCCTGGAAAGGGGGCTCAGGGACCCCAGGCTCCCAGACCACTCTCTGATCCCCACTTTATCTACAAGGGACACAGCTAGAGAAGCAGAGCGTGTCTGGTGGGGACAGAGTGTATCTATTTCTGCTGTCTGCCAGGTGTCGTGTCCCACATCTGAGGGACACACCAGGAAACCAAGGCCCTGAGAAGTTACCTCGTCTTCTCAAAGCGAGAACCAATGGCCACTGAGGGCTGGGGTCTGAACAGGCAGGCTCAGGAGTGCCTTTTCTCGAGCAGGTGTACCTGTCCTCATGCCCATCTCACAGGTGAAAAGGCTGAGGTGCTTGCCCAGAGTCACGACACTAGGGTAAAGTGGCAGAGCCAGCCTGTGGCTCTTCCCTCTAGGCCCTTCCTAGCTCAAGCCTCGTAAGTGCTCTCAGGGATAGACTAGCTCTGGTGAGCACTGGGCCTATCTAGGGTTGTACACGTGTGCTACAGTCAGGCTGGCTTCCCAGGGAAGGGACCTGGGCTCTTGGGCTTGGAATGGAGGAGGTCAAGAGGATATGCTATGGTGTCATTCAGAAGCACAGGAATGCGGTGACCTCCAGTCTCTGCAGTCAGACTGGCTCAGGGTGCAGGAGCTCTGAGTTGGGGGCGGGATGGTCAGAGGCCAGTTCTGGAAGATGCAGCAAGGTCACAAGGAGAGGGTAGAGGGCAAAGGGCTGAGAGTAGAGGGAAAGAATATAACACACACACATACACACGCACACTCCGTGCCCAGGTGCCCAGTTCTCAGGTTAGCTGAAAAGTCCTGACTCATAGGTCCCACCCTAGGTCTTTGTGTGGCCAGTCTCAAGTGGTCAGTGAGCAATGTGTCCTCTCTCTGGCTGGATTCTTGTCCCATCCTCTTCTAAGAATGGGATGGATAGACAACAAGGGAAAGAAAAGAGGGCATCTGTTTGCCATGGGAGAATAACAATTTCAATGGGAAACTAGAAACGGAAGGCCCTAAGTGGCAGCAGGATGCTGTCAACCGAGAGAGGTTGGGAGGTCCCAGCTCTAAGTATTCAGCTTTTGGGGTGCCTAGCTGAGAGGCTGTGGTTGGTGACAGACCTGTGCTCCTAGCAGACAGGCTTTGGGGTGTCAGCTGAGAGACTGTCATGGCTTGAAAAGCTCTCGGTGGGGCTTCGGAATGCTAGTCAGGAGCACACCCGTGCTTTCTACAGGTTTGTCCCGCATGGATCTGCTAACCCAAGAGGCAGCAGGAGCAGTAGATCTCGAGGCTGGGGTCACAGGTGACCTGCCGCAGGTCTTGGAAGGAGGTGCAGAGATCAATGTCTTCTGTAGCCAAAATGCAGAGTCTGGGGGGTTGGTGGGGGCCGAGGCCAGAAAGAAGTCCTCGGCCTGCAGCATCTGGTCAAGTTTTCTTTACTTTTCTGGTGACAGTCCCTGCAGAGCCCAGGCGGCCTGTGAAGACCTCCACTCTAGGTGATGGAGGGGTGTGTTTGTGGGGGTGTGTGAGGTGGTCCTGCACTGCTGAGGCTGCAGGCCACCCTCCTACTTCTCAGTGGACATGCTAGGATTTTTGACACACTCCAGGCATGGAAAGGACCCCAGTGGCGATTCCGTATCCCTTGGGACAAACTCCATGAGAAAGGAGGCGCTTGCATCAGCTCTTGGTACCCACCGTCTAGCCCAGAGGCGGCTCAAGCATACCCCTCTTGCAGGATCTGTGGAATTGACTCTCATGCCCAGGAAAACAAACGCTGCCTTCTTACCTCATCCTATTTATTTGTTTGTTTTACTATGCCTCAAGGCCTCATTGTAGTCAAGGCCAACCTTGAACTTGGGATGTAGCTAAGCCTGACCTTGAACTTGTTAATTTTCTTGCCTCCATCTCCCAAGTGCCGAGATTACAGGTGGACCCATTTTTATCTTTTCCAGTCTTCAAAGGAACATTCCAGTAGTTTCCAGCCACCTGTCCTCAATAGGCCAATGAAAAAGACCAAATAAGATTAAGAGCAGTGGCCTTGTTGGCAATTCAAAGAAACAAGAGATGTGGGGATCTCAAGTCTGACCTCAGAGTCATGGCCGCACATGAAACAGCTGAGCAGTGTGGACAAGGTGCCCCGTCCATACCCCTCACTGCTGCTCCTGCTCCAGTCTTCCAACAGCCTGACTAGTTGTCAGAACCCTATGAAAGTGAGACCTCTGTGCAGGAGAAATGCTCCCCCTCTGGTTGCTTCCAGACTCCTGCCTAAGCCTGAGACTCCTGGACAAATTCGTTCATTGTCTCAATACTTTGGGTGTTGAAGGGAGGGACTCACCTGTCTCTACTGAGAATATCTTCATTCCCTGCCTGCGTAGGTACAATGAAAGCACCTGAGATATTCACGCCAGCCCCCCCCCCCCCCCTGCTGCTGTAGTTTTGCTGGGCTCTCAAGAGTGTTTGTCTTTCCTGGGCCTCAGTTTCCTCCTCTGAAGGATGGGTATGCTTTGCCACTAAGTGTCAGCCGTGGGCCGAGACCACAGCATGGAAGTGATCTGCCATTTACTACGGCTTTGTCTACCCCAAGAAATACATGCTACCGGGTCTTGCTGGGTTCTGCTTCCTCCAGCTCCCTCCACCAGCTCAGTGGCCTTCAGGGAGACTCGGCAGTGAAGAGGCTGCGCAGACAGCCCACCAGTGAACGGTATTGATTTGAGCGGTTCTCAGACTCCAGACCACAGGTTGGGGGGTGTGATACAGCCGCCTCTATGGCTCCAGCTTTTATGGGGGCTGGCAGATTATCTCTTGATCATCAGGACAGGATGTCCGGGCTCTGGCCCCTCCAGCCTCTGCCCCCTCCCTCCCTCCTGGCTTCCCAGACCCTGTCCTCCCTCTATCCTGCACTTGCAGTAATGAACATGGCAGCAGCATTCTTCCTTCCCCAGGGGACCTGGCTGGTTTGGGTACAGGTCCTTGAGTGGGGCGAGAGATTTCCAGGGAGAGAGAGAGGGAGCCTGGGGCTGTGCGGATTCAAAAAAGCCTTCAGAGCCACCTTTGGGTAAATCAGCCTCTTCACTCTTCCCAATTTAATGGTTGTTTGGTTACTGAGCACCTACTGTGCGCAGGCACTGAGTTTGTCATCAAGCACCATTGGTGGCTTGTCCCTGCTGTGGCACTTTGGGTCTTACAGAAGGGTCCAAATTTTCCACACAACACAGCGTTGCCATCAAGGTTCACACTCGAGAACTGTGCGATGGAATGCAACAAGGAAAGCAAGACGGCAGACAGAAACCTTACAGTGGCCAGGCTGGACACACCTGGAGGAGTCAGCAGCTAGGTAGCGATGATGCCGTAAGCACCATGGAGGAAGAAGCTTGGAGTTTCCAAGTGGGTCAGGTGGGTCTGGGGAGAGCAGAGGTGGACCCAATGACATAGCATGTCCCTCAGTGAGAGTCCAGGAACTGTCTGGGTGGATAAGTTGTTTTAGGTGGAGAGAGCGGCAAGCGTCGGTGTCAGGAAAGGCTTGAGGCAGCTGGCGCTATGTGCCTTCCCTAGCTTGCAGCTTTTTATTGGAACGTGGCCTTCACTTGAAGACAAGACAGGACAGCTGTTACAGGCCCAGGTTGTGGTGTTGCCAGGTAGGCCTCCATTCCTACTCTCTGCTGGGCCTTCCTGTGCTTCTAGTTTCATATTGGTAAATGTAGGATATAGCACCTGTAAAGGGTGGCTGTTGGAACAGAATGCTTTTTACCTGTAAAACCGTATCTGAGGCCTGGGGAGACAGTTCAGTGGGTAAGAGCGCTTGTTGAGCAAGCATGAAGATCTGAGTTCAAATCCCCAGGCCCTACATAAAAAGCTGGGCATGGTTGTGTGTGCATGTAATCCGAGCATTGAGGGGTGGAGACAGGAGGATTCTGGGAGCTTGCTGACCAGCTAGCCTAGCCAAAATAGTGGGGTTTCGTTCAGTGAGGGACTCGGTATTAAAAGGATAAGGGAACAGCAATAAAGGAAGACATCTAACACACTTTTCTGGCTTCCCCATGTGCTCAAGGGGAACAGCCTAGAGCACACTCATTCACGCATCTTACTCACATACCTTAACCCATGATAATAGTAATTAAAAATTTTTAAAAACTAACTATCATCTCTGCTGGTTATTTCTTTATTTGACCTTCTTTTCTTTCTCCTCATTAGACTCGTAAGTCCCTGAGGGCACAGAATGAGTGGTGAACCTGAAGCCTCAGGCCAGTGCCTGGCAGATGGCCTGCCCACTCCAGGTGCCCAGGGAATGGATGTCTGCCACGATCCGTAGGGCATGGGTCTGGAGACATAACTGAGGCATGGAGAGAGGACAGACACACAGACACACGTGGAGAAAAGTTGGGGCCAGGTGCTGGTTTTGACGGAGGGCACCCAACCACCACGACCACTGAGAACCTCAGCATGTTTGCTGTGCATCACACAAGGGGAGCAGCTGGCTAGTCTTGGTAGCAGTCTCCGGCTGTGGAGGTTAGGACCAAGGAAGCTGCACTTGCTTTTTTAAATTTGTTTGTTTGTTTTGTTTTTCAACACACTGGCCCGTTGTTTGTGACTGCCTCTACTGGGGCCGGATGAAAGCTCTGCCATTCTGAACTGGACCAGAGGAAGGCTCCACCCATTTCCCACGGGTTTGAGGCATTGGTCCTTGACATGGCCAGGCCCGTGTCAACAAGTTACGTTCACTCAGGACTTTATGGGTCTTTTTGAATC